CTCTGGAATGAAGCATTTCAACCACTCTGAATAACTCTGTTTACATCTTAACCACTTATTTATGCAGGAATTTAGAAAAACATTAAGGTTTTATGCCAATGAAAGGTTTGTGAAAAACCATGCATTTGTAAGAGTTTTGTAAGAGTTTGGGAATAATGTCAAAGCCCAAGCATTTACCCCCCTGCTGTGATGTCATAATGGTCCGAAAATCACTTTCACAGAGAAAATTCAAACTGCAAAAGAAGCCAAGGTGTCTCCAAACTTTTGACAAGGTTAGGCATGTCCAAAAAAGGAGCCTCACTCTTTATGCGTAAGAGCTGGATGGAACGTCTGTTCGGTTCTTGTTGTGATAACTGTATTGTAATACATTCACTGTGCTGGGGTCTCATATAGTGGCATCTACTGAAAACAGATTTATTACGTCTGCTTAATTTCTACTCGTTAGACATGATTCCCTTCACAGAGGAGTCGAGGCTGTTACTGCAGCAAAGAGGGACAAACTCACTGTTAATGCCCTTCATAGTCTACCGGCTTCTGGACGTGAAAGCCTGAAACAGTTCTCAGTGGTCAGCACACGGACTTTGTGTTTTGTTTATATTATAATTATTTGTTTGAGTATTTGTTTGTTTAAAGGTCCATTTCTGGTTATTGTCTGAAATAACGGTGCTAGCTCAACGAAGCCGAACATTCTAGGACACTGACTGAGGGAAAACATTCTAAAGCAGTGTAACTGGGGAAGAACATTCTAGAACAGTGTAACTTCGGGAGAACATTCCAGAATGGTGTGACTGGGGGGAGAACATTCTAAGACAGTGTGACTGGAGGAGAACATTCTAGAACAGTGTGACTGGGGGGAGAACATTCTACAACAGTGTGACTGGAGGAGAACATTCTAGAACAGTGTGACTGGGGGGAGAACATTCTACAACAGTGTGACTGGAAGAGAATATTTCAGAATGGTGTGACTGGAGGAGAACATTCTAGAACAGTGTGACTGGGGGGAGAACATTCTACAACAGTGTGACTGGAAGAGAACATTCCAGAATGGTGTGACTGGGGGATAACATTCCAGAATTGTGTGACTGGGGGATAACATTCCAGAATTGTGTGACTGGGGGATAACATTCCAGAATGGTGTGACTGGGGGATAACATTCCAGAATTGTGTGACTGGGGGATAACATTCCAGAATGGTGTGACTGGGGGGAGAACATTCTAAGACAGTGTGACTGGGGGATAACATTCCAGAATGGTGTGACTGGGGGATAACATTCCAGAATGGTGTGACTGGGGGAGAACATTCCAGAATGGTGTGACTGGGGAGAGAACATTCTAGAACACCGTGACTGAGGGAGAACATTCTAGAATGGTGTGACCAGGGGATAACATTCTAGAACAATGTGAGTTGGGGGAGAACATTCCAGAATGGTGTGACCAGGGGAGAACATTCTAGAACAGTGTGACTTGCGGGGAACATTCTAGAACAGTGGGACTGGGCGAGAACATTCTAGAACAGTGTGACTGGAGGAGAATATTCCAGAATGGTGTGACTGGGGGATAACATTCTAGAATGGTGTGACCAGGGGATAACATTCTAGAACAATGTGACTTGGGGGATAACAATCCAGAATGGTGTGACCAAGGGAGAACATTCTAGAACAGTGTGACTCGCGGGGACATTCTAGAACAATGGGACTGGGTGAGAACATTCTAGAACAGTGTGACTTGGTGGGAACACTCTAGAACAGTGGGACTGGGCGAGAACATTCTAGAACAGTTTGACTTGGGGGGAACACTCTAGAACAGTGTGACTGGGCAAGAACATTCTAGAACAGTGTGACTTGGGGGGAACACTCTAGAACAGTGGGACAGGGCGGGAACATTCTAGAACAGTGTGACAGGGGGGTTACATTCTAGAACAGTGTGACCAGGAAAGAACATTCCAGAATAGTGTGACTGGGCGAGAACATTCTAGAACAGTGTGACTTGGGGGAGAACAACAGCATGAATTGATTGTCTGTTTATGTTTATTGGTGTATGATGGTGTTTTTTCATGTTTGATTGTGATTGCTGGTGTTTGGTGGTGTTTTCCTGTTTGACTGTGTTTGTTGGTGTTTGATCGTGTTTGGTGGTGTTTACTCAGGTTAGATTGTGTTTGATGGCGTTTATTCCTGTTTGATTGTAATTGCTGGTGTTTGGTGGCGTTTATTCATGTCTGATTGTATTTGATGGTGTTTATTCATGTCCAATTGTGTTTGATGGTGTATGCTGGTGCTTATTCATGTCCAATTGTGTTTGATGGTGCTTATTGGTGTTTATTGGTGTTTGCTGGTGTTTGATGAGGTTTATTTGTGTTTATTTATTTATTTTGTGTGTTTCTTGGTGTTTGTTATCTTTCGTTGAGTCTGTGTGCCTTTAGCTTTAAAAGATCTTCCAGAATCCTCCTGTTTCAGAGTTGACTGTCTCTTTATTGCTGTTTTGTATTTGTCCCCAAATAATCCCTCTGGCTGGAATCTGGAGCTCCAGCCTGTTTCTGATCTAAGAAACGTTACTGGCTTGAACTGACGATGTTTATGGGTTTGATTAAGCTGATCACTCAGATGAATTTATGGGATTGTTCATGACCTTATTTTGAGGTTTGCACTTTAATGTGTGGAACTATAATAGACACACGCTCTCTCTCTCTCTCTCTCTCTCTCTCTCTCTCTCTCTCTCTCTCTCTCTCTCTCTCTCTCTACCACTCTCTGCCCTGATTTCTCACTGGCTTTTTTTCTCACACTATTAACATACACACAGTTTCTTTGATTGTTCCTTGAATGGTTCCCCCTATTAGAAAAGGGCTAGACTAGCTGTAGGGATTCACCACAGGGATTCTCAATAAGTCTATTTGCAAGATGCATGCTGGGTATTGTAGTGTAAGAACACTGATAAACGAAAGCACAAAGCGTGAATTCTATCAAACCGATGAGGCTGAGGATTTAATGCAGCGCTTTATTGTACATAATACAACAAAAAAGTATTCAACTCTAGTTTTAGGCCAGGTTTAGGCCTCAGGTTTAGGCCTGACATGGTCCCTTTACTCCCGTGAGAGCTGAAGGTCCCTCAGCACTAGTACAATGCTAATTCTCCTCCCTCTCAGCTAGCCTCTGAGAAAACTGGCCCACAAAAACAACGGCTTAGCATGCTGTGCTAGCAGAGTGTAGGGTTTCTCCAGTGGTGTTTTGGTACGTGTGGTGAGGAGGCATCATGTGGGGCCTCGGAGAGGGAGCAGCTCAGGTTTCTCCCTTTATTAGCTGCTGGATTTACCACATGTGAGCGCTGGCACTGCTCCCTCCTTCAGCTCCACACAGCCCTCATTTAATCACCCACTGTAGCCGATTTCTTAGCGCTGTTAAGTCCGTGTAATGACCCGTGTACCATCGCTCGCTGTCCAGCGCTGGCTGAAGTTTCCTCATCCACTTTTTGCGGCGTTGTGTTTGTTACATCCATTTTGCTCTTTCCCCCCAGCTTCTTCTCCCCCTCTCTGTATTTTTACGACTCGTTCAATCTCCACTACCTCATGGAGGAAAAATGCAATTCACTTTTATTTCCCACAAATACATCCCGGTTTGCTGAGTTAGTCGGCGCTCGCCGCCTTTCACACGACGAGAAGCAAGAAAGATTGAATGTGCTGCTCCATCTAATCGCCATCAGCCAAGTTTCAATCTCCGTCTGTCACACATTAGACTCGTTTTCAAAGAAGGTAATAAAAGAAAATCAGCGGAGTTTTGATGTGAGTGACGCTGAAGGCCGAGCTGAACAATAACCAGCGCGTAAAAATCTACGTATGAGCATTTAGCCACATCAAAGAGCCAATTCAGCTCCAATAACGCAGTTTCAGTATGAAGGAGAGGTTAAAACAGAGAGAGAGAGAGAGAGAGAGAGAGAGAGAGAGAGAGAGAGAGAGAGAGAGGACAAATCGAAACTGAGCGACCCTTTCTCTGCTCCTGTAATAAATATAACTTCTATCCCATCATTTAAGGAGAAAATGATTAAAGCTGAAGATCTGTTGCGCGTGTGTTTAGGAGAGACACCAGAATGTGTTGAACTATCAGCTAAATATGTTTACAGCTGCCACAAACGCAGAGAACAGAGTGACACAGTGTTGTGTGTATTTTACAATGTGTATGTGTATGTATGTATATGTGTTTATGTACATATTAATACTTTATTATTTTACTCTTTCTTTTATACATTATTTCCTTCTTCAACATTATCTTCATATTCTTCTAGGATATTTTAATTGCTTTGGCAACAATTGTTCATTACAATTCATGCCAGTAAAGTTATTTGAGTTGAACTGAACTGAATTGAGAGAGAGAGAGAGTGGGGGGGAGAGAGAAAGGGATGTGAGGGAGAGTAAAAGAAAGAAATAACACATGATAGGAAAAAGACAGAGGGGTTAGAGAGAGAGGAAAGAGAGGGGAAGAGGCAGAGATGGGAGAGAGAGAGAGGAGAAACAGAGAGAGAAGAAATGTAGGGAAGAATGGAGAGAATGGAGGGGTAGAGATAGACAAAGGGTGAGAGTAATAGCAAGAGGGAAATAGGGAAAGTGAAAGAGAAATGGGGAGAGAGAAAAGAGAGAGAGAGAAAGAAAGAAGAAAGAGAGAGAGAATGAAGAAAGAGAGAGAGAGAGAGAAAGAAGAGAGAGAGAATGAAGAAAGAGAGAGAGAGAGAATGAAGAAAGAGAGAGAGAAATGAGAGAGAGAGAGACAATGAGAGAGAGAGAATGAAGAAAGAGAGAGAGAGATAAAGAAGAGAGAGAGAATGAAGAAAGAGAGAGAAAAGGAGTGAGAGAGAGAAAGAAGAAAGAAAGAGAGAGAAAGGAGAGAGACAGAGAGAGAGAGAGAGAGAGAGAGAGAAAGGAGAGAGAGAGAGAGAGAGAGAGAGGTGTTGTTGGTGCTGTGTGGTCTCTCTGTGTTGGAGCTCAGCCTGGGGTTTATAAAGCTGAGCTACAGGCTGGAGGAGACACTGCTCTGCTGCCTCAGTCTGAGCTCGCTCAGCCCTCTCTCTCACTCTCTCTCTCTCTGTGTGTCTCTCTCTCTCACTTTCTTTCTCTCTCACTCTGAAGCTCAGGATGCTCTTGGCCTGCATCACTCTGCTCCTGCTGACCCCTCTGCTCCTGACCAGCTGCAGGCCGGACGGTGAGAGCACAGAGACCATATTGTCCCAGAGTTAGCCAGGTGAAATGCGCCAGCGGGTTTTCAGGGCTCCTGTGTGTGGGTGTTCAGGGATAAACTGGACGCTGTGGCATGGAAACAGGTCACCTTTAAACCATCCAGGTGACCGTTAGCAGGTTTTGTGCAGATTTTCAGCTGGACTTTCTCTTTTTAACTGTATTGTCCTTGTTTACTCTGACAGAGTTATGTTTTATCAGTTTTGTCTTTTGGGCGCATTACAGAAGCTTCCTAACAGCTTTTATTGATTGCTTGATTGATTGATTGATTGAGCCAAATGGATGGGACGGATCGCTGCTGCACTGTGTTGTTTTTCAGGGTGAATAAGTCTTGTTTTCAGCTGGTTTGCAGGCAGACTGTCTGTGTTGCTGCTTGTCTGTCAGCGCGAGGCTCTCAGGTCGTGTCGGTGCAGGTTGGAGCCGGAGCCTCTGTAAATGACTCACAGCCACAGGCCTGCTGCTGCTTCTGGAGAACACTGTAAACTGTTTTTTTTGTCCTTGCGGTTCTGGTTAATAGCTGAATGGGAGGCAGACCCGAGTTTTTGGAACGACCAGGCCAGAAGAACGCTGGAGGACGCTCTGAAACTGCAGCCACGTGTCCACCGGGCCAAAAACATCATTCTGTTCCTCGGTGATGGTGAGTTACACTCACAGCAAGTTACTGCAACTAGAGATTAACTCACTAACTATGATTCAACTAATCTGTTAAAGTCTGTTTGTGGGTCCAAACCACAATTCCTCGGTCTCATAAACACAAACTCACAAACAGTTTCACAGTAAATACTGAATAATTTACAGCAGTTACTGATTAATAATTACTGAGTTACTGTAGGAATAATTAATTTTGTCTGCTGAAAAATTCATAGTAGATACTGAATACCTGAATGAGTAATGAATAATGAATAGTGTTCACTTAAGCAATTATAGTAATTAATTATTAATACTGATCAGTGGACAACAAAGCAGATACATAATAATTCATAGCAGATATGTAATAATTGATAGTAGACACATAATATTTCGTAGTAGTTACTGAATCATTTATAGTAGATACTGACTAATTCATAGTCGATGCTGAATAATTCATAGTAGTTACTGAATAATTCATAGTAGGTACTGAATAATTAATAGTATTTACTGAATAAATCATAGTAGTTATTGAATATTTCATAGTAGATGCTGAATAATTCATAGTAGTTACTGAATAATTCATAGTAGTCACTGAATAATTCATAGTAGTAACTGAATCATTGATAGTAGAGACTCAATAGTTTATATTGGTTACTCAGTCACTCACAGTAGAAAATTAATCATTCATAGCCGTTACTGAGTAATTACATTATTTAATCTGCAAGTTAATAGCAGTTGCTTAAATTAATATATAGTAGATACTGAATAATTCAGTGTTTATTTAACAATTTGAAGTAATTACTGAGTAATTCATAAAGGTTCCTGTGCTATTTATAATAGATACTGAAAATTCATAGCTGTTCATGAAAACATCTTAGCAGTTACTGAATAATAAGCCCACAGTTTGAGGGATTAATCACCTAATATAAAAATTTTGCCTTCTTCAGTTCCTCTCCTTCTTAAAGTTCCATCTGTGCAACAAGCGAGTTCTTCTTTGATGATGCGATGATATAGTAGAAGCCATATCGCCCCCTACACTTCCTGTAGTGTATTACAGTCTGTCAGAGTGACTGTGTGGATCATATGAACATTATAGAGCTTTTTAAATGAAACAGTAGAAGTCATATCGCCCCCTACACTTCCTGTAGTGTATTACAGTCTGTCAGAATGACTGTGTGGATCATATGAACATTATAGAAGCTTTTTAAATAAAACAGTAGAAGCCATATCGCCCCCTACACTTCCGGTAGTGTATTGCAGTCTGTCAGAGTGACTGTGTGGATCATATGGACTTTATAGAGGCTTTTGTGATGTGACCAGTGCACTGACAATATATATATTTTTTAATAATCAACATTTTGTTGAGCCTGTTGACTAATGGGTCAGTCCACTGCTGCATTTAAGTGACTTTTAGACTTATTATCAAGAGCGTGTAGCGTCTAACGCTCTGGGAGTATATTTCAATTTAAAAGTAAAAATTCACTCCACTACTGGATCTACTTTAAGGGGAAATCTGCACTGAACTACTTGTGCAACAGTCCGCGATATATGTAAACGCTAAGATAGATATAAACGGTTGGTGAACCAGTCTCATATTTAAAGGTCATTTCAATGAGATTTTAGCATATGGCACAGTTCTGCAGGGTTTTTGACCATGGTGCTGCACCTCTTGGCCATCCTGCAGGTATGGGAGTGTCCACTGTGTCTGCGGCCCGAATCCTGCGAGGACAGATGGAGGGCCGGTCAGGGGAGGAGACAGTTCTGGCTATGGATACCTTCCCTTACCTCGCTCTGTCAAAGGTCTGAAACTCACTTTATCATTATCTCCTTCACTACATTCACCTCTACCACTACCACAATCTCCATCAGCATTTACACCTCCATCACCATTACCACCACTACCATCATCAACACCTCTATCACCTCCAAATCCATCACCACCACCATCACAGTCATTAATACAGGATTTATTACCACCATGACCATCATCATCTTCACAAAATTTACCACAGTCATCACATCATAACTGTCATTACTGTTATTATCATTACCATCATCACCACAACCATTACAACCCTTACCACCACCGTTATAACCATCACAACTATCAACATCACCAATATCACTATTATCATCACCATCATTACCATCATATTACCATCATCATCATAAGCATTATCAAAAATCACCATCACTAACACAACCATCGTTACCACTACACTTACCTTCATTATCACCACCATGACCACTACCATCATCATCACCATCTCCACCACAATCACCATCACTTAACCAGCATTGCCATCATATCACCACCATTAACACCATAACCAGTATCATCACTATCACCACCATCATCCCCATCATTATCATTACCGACTCCATCATCATAATCACTATTGCCATCACCATCACCAAATTTACCACTATCACATCATCACTATCAACACCATCATCATTACCATCCCTGACACCACCACCATCACAGCCATTACCACCATCATTACCATCATATCGTCACCATCACCACCATCATTGTCACCATCACCACCATCACTATCACCATCACCTTCTTCATCACCATTACCAATATCACCATCACTACTTAAACCAGCATCATCACGATTATCATTACCGTGCTTTGTCATCAATTTGATCCTTCAGTTTTGCATTTTTTACAAAAAAATCTAGACATTTTTGTTTAATAGGTTCAATTATTGCAGAACTGACAAAGAAACCATGTTCACTTATCAAAACTATTCTGAAAGGTCAGGTGTTTCCAACCTTTTGAAGGGCAGTGTACCTGTGTGTGCAGTGAGTATGTGTGCAGATGTGTTTCTACAAGAAGCCCTAATCTCAGTCTCATATAAACGCACAGCCAAGGAAAACCTCTTTGTCACTGGCCTTTATAGAGTGAGTGATTTTAGGACCATAAACTAGACTGCTTTGGACGATTAGGTCTCGATTGAAGGTTCTACTTCACTACATCAGATAATGCACTTTAATGTGAAGATTTCAGCAGAGTTGCCCTGTTTTTCTTCATCATAGGAGGAAATTTCAGTTACTGTCTAAAGCAGACTGCAGGTCAAAGAGCCATTCAGATGGGAATGATGCTGCTGCAGGGGAATGAATGACTGCTTTCTGTGTACATTTGGTCAAAATGCAAATGGATACTGGATGTGGGGGTTAAAGTATGTGGGTGTGAAAGAGAGGATGCATGCATTTGTGCAGGACTGAACCATGACTATTAGAGCTAAGCCTTCAGTTTTGGCTATGAATGTCAAAAACACCTCTACAGTAATGCAAATTTTCCTAAAATGTCTAAATTCTAACTGTTTGGTTTCCAACCAAAACTTAAAAATGAAATAAGGGTATTAATACAGTACGCAGTATAAGTATAAAAATGTCTCTTTTATCAGAACAGTTTTTAAATGTATATTTAAGTAGTTACACTGGGGACTCAGGTGTCAGTATCCACAATAATCCAAATAAATCTGTCCATTTGTCATCTACTGCAATTCAAACGTTTGAAATCAATGTTTACAATAACATAAAACCAATCTGGTTTTAGATAAATGTATAACTGATTGTAATCTACTCGTCCAGAACATCTTCACAGCTTTCAGATCATCATCACCATCACATCACCACCTTCGCCATCATCACTATCACCACCATCGCCATCTCCATCGTTACATCATAATCACCATCATCACCACATCTGCATCACCATCATCACCATCATCATCTTAATCACCATCACCACCATTGCCATTATCACCATCATCACCATCATCACTATCACCACCATCGCCATCTCTATCATTACATCATAATCATCACCATCATCATCTTAATCACAATCACCACCATTGCCATTATCACCATCATCACCATCATCACTATCACCACCATCGCCATCTCTATCATTACATCATAATCATCACCATCATCACCACATCTGCATCACCATAATCACCGTCATCATCTTAATCACCATCACCACCATTGCCATTATCACCATCATCACTATCATCACTATCACCAATTATCACCAATCTTCACGGCAATCACCTTCAGTATCACCCCATCACCACCACCATCTCTACCACCATCACTTAACCAGCATCATCATTTCCATCACCACAATCACCACTGGCATCACTATAATCATCACCATCATTAGCCCCGACACCATCATCATCTTCAATAAATATACCACTGTCATCAAATCATTACTGTCATCACTGGTATCGTCATCAACATCATCACCACAACCATCATGTCTCTTACCACCACCATCACAACCATCACCACTATCATCATCACCAGTAATCACCTTTATCATCACCATTACTACCATTATCATCATAACCATTACTAAAATATAATTTGCAGAAAAATGTCATTTAAATGTGTTAACTTATTTACAATTATGTAATCAACAAGACATGTAATTTGACCGGGGGACTCTACATCATCATATTGTACTTTATTCACTCATACACAGATATAATTTTGCTTTACAGTAAATGGACAGTAATGGGCATTTTCTCTTATTTGTCTCTATGGTCTGATAATAACCATAAATAAATAAAAGCCATTTCTTTTGTTTCCTCTTAAAACATTGTTATTCCGTCATTGCAGCCCAACTTTCGAATGTATTCCTGAATAAATGGTCATACTTGTGTAGAATGTTGACATTCTGGCCTTGGTGTCTTTGCGCAGACCTACAGTGTGGATAAGCAGGTTGCGGACAGCGCCAGCACGGCCACGGCTTATCACTGCGGGGTCAAAGCCAACTCCAAAACTGTGGGCGTGAGCGCGAACGCTGTGGCCTACGAGTGCAACACCACCTTCGGCAACGAGGTCTACTCCGTCCTGCACCGCGCCAAGGCTCAAGGTACGCCTGGAGTTACACAACACTGAGCCGAGGGAGCCAAGGGTCAGTTTCTGCTGTGTGTTTGTGTTCCAGCTCAGGGTCAGCACTCTTTATGGGTCTTTATCTACAGCATAGCCCATTCAGTAGATCAGAGATAAACATAATAATTCCAGAAAGCAATTTTCATATTTTATTATTTACTGAGCAAAAGCGGTCAGCTGATATGGAGCGGTATGAGCTTTAACTACAATTATCTTGGCTTTCAGACAGATTAGTAGCACATCTGACCTGAGTTCAGCCCACTAATCAGCTCTGCATGCTTAGATACAGCTCTGTGCAAAAGTTTGGGCGCCCATGTTGTTGTTTATTTTCTGTCATCTACAGAGAACACACTTCTGTCCATTTTAATGCACTAATTTAACTTAAAAAATTAAAAAAATGTGGCCTGTGCAAAAGTTATGGTACCTTTAACAGTTTATGTGTCATATTTGAGTGTGTTTTCTGTAGAGGATGTGTTAACATGACTTCACTGGTGCTCAAACATTTGCATGTTACATTTTTTAGGGAATTTTAGCGGTTCAAAAAGCTTTTAATACACATGTAAGCACACTTTCTTTGCCAGTTTGCGATAACAGATTAAATAGAAAGCTGTTTAGGTCTTCAGATAAACTGATAAACTTCTACCTAAGGAATAAAGTCTAAGGCCACTGCCTTTTTCTCCCCTTCTTGTGAGGTCAGCACTCATCAGCACTCAAACCTTTTCAAGTTTCTGAACTGCTTCAACATGAGCTTTTAAGAACAGTTTGAAAAATAAAACTGTCAAATCATTATTTAGATAAAATCTGATCTTCATACTAAAAAAACTTTGGTGATCATGAAGCTGAGAGTTGAAGATAAATATACACAAAGCATCAGCACAGAGCTGCTTTATGATAAACTATTCATATGTTTTTATTCATTCTAATTGTTATTCATTTGATTTATGTCTTACAACTAAATCTGATTGCTCTAAAGTAGTGAAATTTTCTGTGTTTATACTTTGGATGAATATCTAACAGCATCTAATTAAAGTTTTTTGATTGCATATAAGTTTAACACTTTTATTCACAATCAGATTTCGATTTTTGGTTATTTGGTAAAATCCAGGTGTACTGTGAGCGAAAGACTTTATGTGAAATGGTTAATTGTAGAGACTCAGATCTCTTTACAGTGGTGGTGATGGGAACCAGGGGTCGCCATGACTACAACACAAATATAGACATTTTATTTACTATCCAAAACCACCAGTGAACCTACACGAGTCTCCTGAGCTTATATGTAACGTTGATGATGTAAAAATAGTGGAAAATCTGGAATAATAAGTCTTTTTTGGGGGGACTATTTTGCCTCACAGCGCCCTGCATGTATGTTTTAGTGTCTGAGACATCAGGCAGTGATTTCATAACCATTTCATGTAAGAACTCTCTGTGAGGGAGCTTTTAGAGGTGGGAAAGAATATAAAATGTAAAAAAAAAAAATGGATATTTAAAAGGACATTTACACAAAACTGGTTAATAATCTAATAATTCATTAGAAAGTGAATATTAAAGCCTTCAGCCTGGAATTTAAAGGATTATTATAATAAATTAAAGTGCCCCTATCATGAAAAACTTAATTTCACTCACTTCTTAATAAAAGAGTTTGTCTGTACAGTTTATATATGGAAACTAAGCCACAAAACAGCCTATTATGATGTCACTGTTTTTGTGATGTCATAAAAACATTGCATTGACATACTGTTCAGTCTACAGAAGCTTAGCCCCGCCCACTCACACTGAAGTTAAAAGGAGTGTTTCACCCCAGGCTGCTTTTTGTGCTGGAGGCAGAGCCAATCAGAGCAGAGCTTATTTATATCTATCAGTCTTAAAGGCACAGTAAGAAAAACTGTTTCAATCTAATGGATAAAGAGAGGCTGGAAAATAGCCTAGAAGTGAATTGTGACTGTTTTTGGTACATAAAACCAAACCAATGTAATAAGTGGACATCAGTGGAAAAAAAAATACAAGAAAAATTATGACATGGGCCTTTTAAGTGAGAAAACTCATTTTTAGCCATGTTGTTCAATCAGTTTGAAAAATGTCTTCAAATTGTGCTCCCAAATATCTCCAAAAATAACTGACATATCTCCAAAATAGTAACTATGAAATGCTTACACAAAGTAAAGGAGAGTTGCTGTGTTCAAATGATGTAGCAAAATAAAAATCTGAATTATTTATTTATTTATTATTTTTTATTTTTTGGACAGGGAAGATGTAACAGTGAAAATGTTCAGTGTGCTCCTATGTAGTATTTCAGAGTGGTGATCTGTTGCTGCGAGTGTCCTGAAGCTGGAACAGGAAAACATGGGAAGCTTAATCCTCTAATTATAGGCACGCACACGGATCACTAAACCAAAACATTTTCCTACATTAACATTAAACAAACTAAAAATCCTGCCCAAGACCTCCCAGCCCTGCAGCAGGTCCATTTTTCATTTTTCATAACTCTGAGCACATACAGTGTGTGAGGTCCGTCTGAGTACAGAGTTCCTGAATGTGGCTGAATGTATATTTGAACAAGTGCAAAAGCTTTAAATCGAATCCAAACATGTCACTTCATCACTGACTGTATGTGCCTGGAGAGTGGCCTCAGTGCAGTATGACTACCTCCATTCAGAGGGGCTTCACACTGGACCCCCGTGTTTGCACACCGAGGGGCCTTTTTTCTATTGTTTTCAATGGGAGAGGTGTGTTTTGTGAGCTGTTTTCGCACAAGTCAAAAAAGTAGGACTCAAAGTTGTCAAGTATCCTACGTCACAGTGTGTTTCTGTGCTAACGGGAGGTCAGGGCCGGAGTGGTACCGGTTTTGGTGGGTTTTCAGACCCACCCAAACTCTACACACACACAAACTGAGCAGGCGAACTTCATAGATATAATTTCAAAATGCAGCAGTGCAGTCGTCACCCTACACATTCCAACACGTCTGCCCTGAAACAGAACAACAGCAATCAATCAGAAAGCTGGATTCACGTAAACACAACCAACACTGCAGCACCTTCACTATAAAGCTCACGTCCAGCTCACCACAGGCACAACTTCTAAACAGAGAAGATGATAAATCTAAGTCAACATCAGACAGTTGAGATTACAAACATGAAGAAAAACAACACAGCAAACTTTAAAATTTACACCTAATTATATATTATAGGTAAAAGCGTATTGCTACAGCGGGCATGAAACATGTTTATGGTCCATTTATGTCTTACCTGTATGTCTGTTTTGACGTTTTCACAAAGCATCATGCCAGCTTTTGTAGTTAAAGACTGCTGTCAGTACCAAATTTGCAGAAAACCAACAACAACATTGTTTTACATTTGTTTCCAGCTTTGGACGGGTAGAAAATGACATACATTATAGGACAGATATACTTTTAATTGTCCCTAGTTTGATCTTTTTAACCACAACTGGAGCTTCACGTTCAAAAAATCAATCAATCAACCTTTATTTAACCTCAGAATACATTGAAGGAGACCCTCATTTACCATGTAGCCAAGTAATGCAGGAATCAGGGATTGAGAAGTTGTACAGTAAAAAATATAAATCAAATGTTATGATTAAATAAAAAAAAACATAATAGTGAAATTTAATGATAAGAAGGTACCAGTAAACTGTTAAATCAATAAACGATAAAAGTTACAATGTAGTAACTTACCAGTTAACAGAGCAGATAAGGATAAAATAAATAAAAACATAGATTAATGAAATAAAAGAAATGGATGTCTGACAATCCCTAGTTAAAAATGACACCAGAGAGTGAAGTTGTAGAGTTTCCTGTAATGAAGTCCAGTTCGTTGGTCCACTGTAGCTAAAAGCAGATTTTCCCAGCTCTGTAAAAGCTCTCGGCACTGGAAGGGTCCAATCACTGGGACGAGTCTGATAAACTGCATTATTTACACTGAGCATTTCTGTGATGTACGATGGCCAGTAAGAGCTTTACAGATAAAAAGAAGCCAATGTGTCTCCTGACGCACAGACAGAGATGACCAGCCAACCTTTTCATATAGTACACAATGATGGGTCTGTAGGGGTCACCGGTAATGAAGGCAGTGTGATGTACAGAGCCTAGAGATTTCAGAACAGTTACAGGTGCAGTGGGGTATGGCATGTAATAACAAACTGAAGGCTTGAAACAAATGTGGAACTCTGTGGATCTGCCTGCTGTGCCAGTCAGCACCAGACTGGATGATATTGTGGCCAGATTCACACAGTTGTGCTGAATTTAATTCACTAATAATCATTTCTGTAAAATAAAGTCAAGGCCTGTTTCTGTTTCCTTTTTGGCCAAGAAAACCATCAAATCCAGCTAACAGCTCCACTTAAAATATGTTAAGATTACATTGTTGATAATCTAAACAATAATAAAAATAGCACGCTTTCAAATTGCAATTTTGATATAAAAATAAATCTTTCAGGGCTAGGAAATAGATTTATGATGGTAAAAGTGTAGGAAAAATGTTAAAACTACATAAGACAAAAAAGGGAAACTAAGAAAATAAGGTTAACAAATCATAACTTTTATTATCAAAACTATTAAACAGATTAATAATAAAAAATAAGTAAAACAACTGAGAAAATTTCACTCTGCAGCTCTGCTGTAGGAGGAGAGTAGGTATGTTTGCAGCAGACGGGTAGCGATGGTTGAGTCTTTCATTTTTCTGGAGGCTGAATTGTCCCTTAAAGTAACAAGTAACTTGTAACACCTCAGTGGAACTTCTTAGAGCATCCTGTTTGTATAGGGACTGAAGTTTGTTTGACTCTATCTTTCTTATTGGAGACGTTCGTCTAAAATAAAACACTACAGTGTGACATCAGCCAGGTTTTGTTAATCAGATTCTAAAAAGAAGCAGCCATCACTAATGCAGACTTCAAAAATAAATGAACACAGTTCTGTGTATGTAAAGATAAAACCATGTTTATTTTATTCAGGAATAGCAGTGAGAGGCACAGACTAGCTGCTTTTTCAGGATTCGAGAGCCCTAAAATCTAAAGAACTAGTACATAACCTTTGTGTACTGATGGATCTCAGTTTTATCAGTCGTGTCAAAGCAGTTAGTAAATCAGCTTTTTATCACCTTAAAAACATCAGCAGATCTGGAGAACCTCATCCACGTCTTTATTTCCAGCAGGATTGATCACTGTAATGGTCTCCTAAATGGAGACAATTGAACAGCTTCAGCTGATTCAGAATGCAGCTGAATGAAAGAAGGACCCCCCATTCTTAAACCCTTACACTGGATCCCAGTCTGTTCCAGTATAGATTTTAAGGAGCTGTTCCTGCTCTATAAATGTCTTAATGGTGCAGGAGCAGCGTATTTATCTGATCTGCTGCAGCGATATGAGCCAAGCAGAACTCTCAGATCATTAGGAACTGGTCAGTCAGCACTGCTGAAGGTGAAGACTAAACATGGAGAAGCAGCGTTTAGATACTATGCTGCTCTTAAATGGACCCAATGGACAGAGAGCATTAGAAGAGCCCCGACACTAGAACCTTTAAATCCACCTGAAAATGATCCTATTAGAGCAGCAGATGGTTCTTCAAGGGTTCGTTAGTAAAGACAATGATTCTCTATAGAACCATGAACACTCAAAGAACCAATTGCATGCTTAAATGGTTCTTTGCTTCGTGAAATGGTTCTTCAGACTGATGGAGCATGTGTTAATGGTTCTGTATATAGCTTGTAACAATAGAGGAACCCTTTTTGGAACGCTTTTCAAAAAAGTTCTATCTAGAACCATATACAACATATTCTCCTACAATTTGAGGAATGATTCAGCATACAAGCATGAAAATGGTTCTGTGAGTGTTCACGGTTCTATATAGAAACTGCCTGTACAAAAGAACCCTTAAAGAACCTTCTTTTTGACCTTATTATTCCAGGTGAATTTTTAATTAGATTAATTAGAATTTTCTCTTTTAATTCTATTGTTTTAAGCACGTTTAATCATGTTTTTAATTTCTATTTCCCTTCTTTTTGAAAATTAATTGTAATTATCTTAATTTTTTCTCATTTGTAAAGCACTTTGGATGAGAACAGTGCATGAAAGGTGGGATATAAACAAAATTTTCTTGCCTATGTGTGTCTGTAGGGAAGTCTGTGGGTATAGTGACCAACACTCGCGTCCAGCACGCCTCTCCGGCCGCAGCATATGCCCACTCGGTGAGCCGTAGCTGGTACAGCGACGCGGATCTGCCTTCTGCTGCCCGCCGACAGGGCTGCACTGATATCTCCACACAACTGGTCACCAACACGGACATCGACGTGAGTGTTTATCCTTCCTTTAAAGGTGTAGTGTGTAAGATTTAGTGGCATCTAGTGGTGAGGTTACAGATTGCACCCAGCTAAATCCCCCTCCCTCACCCCTCCCTTTCCAAGCGTGTAGTAGAACCTACAGTGCCCGAAAGGAAGATCAGTATGCTAAATTACCTGTCCAGAAGAAAACATGCGACTTTGGCATCACTCCTCATCTGTCCCTTATCAGTGATTTCCATCTGGGAAAGGCCACAGCATTGTTTACCTTTGTTTTCTACCGTCGCCTGTCCTAATTCCGTCCTGCTTCTTCATGTTTTTACTTCTCTGATGGTGAGGATTCACCCTCTCTCACTTTTTTTTGTGCTAAATAATAAGTCTGATACTCCATTTGCCAGATTTGGGCTCTCAAACTTCTCACAACACAAAACGGTCAGCCAGAAACCAGGGATTCTTCTTTCTACATCTTCAGTGCCACCAAATTCAAGCTGCCGCTTCAGCATAGAAACGAGAAAGGTGCCCTCTAGAGCCAGTGTTTGGTTTGTCTGCTCTAGGCTGCAGTAGAAACATGGCGGCGGTAGCCTCTGTTGGAAGAGGAGCTGCTCCCTATGTAGATATGAAGGGCTCATTACAGCTGATTTTACACTCATGAAAACATGGTTTTGTTTACTATATTCCATTTCTGCTTATAGAGCCCCCTAAACCTTACACACTACACCTTTAAAGCTTAACAGGTAAATTCCAACAAAGATTACTTATTATATAAGTGTTTGTAGCAGTGCGCTAATTCTGGAAGTAGAACTATCATTTCCAAATTTAGCTTGATTTACTGTTAAATTAGTATTCTGAAAGCGAGTTGGGCAAAAAATCAACAAATCAACAAATGTACACAATTTCCTGCCTTACAGCCTAGATGTGTTCAGTGTCTGAAGTTTGCTTCTTTAGTTTTACACTGGTGCTACAAAGCTAATGTAGCTAACAAGTAATGGAAGCTTATATCCCACCAATTAGCATCACACAAACTGCAAACTGCATAAATCACAGTGTTGGGGTGGGATCTCACACAGCAATTCATACAAGTTACTAATACTTTGGCAACACTTTCTATGAATGTTATGTCTACAAGAACCTATGAACACATTCAAAATACATTATAATGCATTCATAAGGCATCATAAACATGGCCATAAATATTTATAAAAATGCATTAGATGTTATAGCCATGCTTATTATGCATTATGGATTGTTAACATACTGCATTATAAGTAGTATTCATGACAAATTATAAGAGCTCATAAGTCGTATTTGTCCGCTCTAAGTAAAGTGAAGCGTACTGTACTAAAGCCTCCTCCAGTGTTCAGAGTGAGGCTTCAAGTTGAAGTATTTACTGAAGGATTTACTGAAACACTAAAACATTCACAGTAAAGCACATTACAGGCTTCAAATGTCAGAGTTTAAACTAGAGCTGCCATCAGTGTTTTACCCAATGTGGGAAAGGTAATGTACACCACCGTTAGCTTAGTGCTAACTTAACACTGCATATCCAATAGAATGCTAGCAGAAATTAACTGTACTGTAGTGCAGTGGTGTTACAGAGTGAAGGTTTTTAGTGCTTGATGTTAGAACCAGTGAGGGAACAAATTACAACGACAGCACTCTACTATCTTGCCTCTCCCTCTCCAGGCCTTAGGACAAATAAGATTAACAAATCAAAGCAATCAAATAAAACTAATAAGCAGAATAGTGGTAAAAATAAATAAATAAAATAACTGAGTAGGATAAGGAAAAAAGATAAAATAAAAAACAATACTAAATCATTAATATGACAAAAATATAGAAAATAAATGATGCTAAATATGTATAATAATAATAATAATAATAATAATAATGATAAAAACGACCAAGAAATCAGCAAAAACAAACTTCTTGAATGAAGTAATCTCACTACTCATTACTTTACCTCTGAGTTACTCTCTAAAACCTGCTGGGACCAATACAGAGAAAGCACAGTCCTGTTTTAGGCTTGAAATTAGTGGTGTTGAAATGAATTAAAATGTAGAATATGGGCCCTTTACAAATTTACTGAAATAATTTCAAGGTGCTACACTGAACTATAGTTATCCAAAACATGGTTAATCCTCTATGGTTAATGTACTACAGTGGTAAATTTCTCTCCGTGGTAGGTCATTCTCGGAGGTGGCCGGATGTATATGACACCCAAAGGCACCCCGGATCCAGAATACCCGTCATCATCCTCACGAAAAGGAGACCGCAAGGACAAGAAGAACCTCATTGAGGTCTGGCTGAGTGATCGGAAGGTAAAGTGAGCTCCAGATGCGTTTTCATGGTTCAGTTTCTGAGTCTGCTCTGTCAGCGCGTGTGACTGTGACACTCCACTGTTTCTCAGGACAGGAACGCTCGGTACGTTTGGAACAAAGAGCAGTTCAACGCGGTGGACGTCAAAACCACAGACTGTCTGATGGGTAATGTTATTTTTACCTTTACACCTCAATATCATTCCACTGCAGTCTTATCTTTGTTTGCAATGTCCAGGCTAACAATAAGATAAGATCAGGAAAGCATATGTTTTCTTTGCATGCTGAAACTTTCATGCAACTAGTTGCAGGTTGTAAGTTGCATGAATCACAATTTCCATACAACATGACAGTTAGACAAAGCAGTTAAACATAATTTGCATGCAACACATTCAGTTTTTCCACAAGTGAGCATGATTAGCAGATAGAATGTTTCATATATTGCACAGTTCTGGCTACATGAGCTCATCTCTCAGGTGCTAATTCACATATTTGTGTCTTTTTATGATTTTAATTTCAAGAGAGGTGAAAATCAATAACTTAGATGATGATTCAGCGGGCTAAAAAGCAGGCCAGAGTGTGCAACCTGCAGTGAATGCAGGAATGCACATAACTCCTGTTTGCAGTCACAGACAGCATGTATATGAACTAAATAATCTGAAACTGTACTAAACATATCCTGAGTAAGAATGTAGTTCAGTTCGGAATATTTTCTGCAGAATTCACTGAAAAACTGCAAACCAAAGTAAAGAATATGTTACATGTGAGTCTTAACAGCTTCAAGTGTCCTTGTTGATGTAGAGCTGCTGTAAATAGTATTAAAACCAGTGTAAAGTGAAAGTACACCTCAGTTAGCTTGGAGCTAACTTTATTTAGGGATTTCCATAGAGACGCTAGCAAAAAATAGCATTACAACAGACTTTGAATAAAACTTTCAGCTTTCCAAAAGAAAAATGCATTATTTTACAAAAGGTCAGATGTTGTGCTCTTCAGAAAACAATTAAGGAGAGTACGTACTGGAGATAAAGCAAACCAGGGTTGAATGATTAATCATTTTTGTATCAAAATCGTTATTTGAAAGAATGTAATTTTCGAAATGCATGAGCTGCAATTTTATCATAGCCTCCGTCATCAACGACATTGTAGGTTTTAAGTGGGAATGTTTAACTTAGTTACACAGAGCCTGTGAAGTGCCTGTTAGACCAATCAGATGCAATGAAACACCCATGTGATGCGTACACGACAACAAAACCACAACTGTCTGGTGGTGCAGTATGTTCAGCGTTCCAGCCAGAAAGTGCAGAAAAGCTGCTCTTCTTTTCCAAAATAAACAAGCTGGACCTCAATTTATAGCAAATAGTTGCAAGTTATATTGCAGTTGCAGCCTCGTCAGAAAAATCATAATCAGATATTAGATATTCAGCTCCAAAACAGCTGTAATGTTGACATTAGCTGGCTAGTTAATTAGCTATTCAAGCTAACTGGTTACCAAGAAATACCAACTGTATTTCAAGATTCTCTTTTGGTTTGATTAGATTAGATTAAGTGGCCCTTATTAGTCCCACTATAGGGAAATTTCACCTCTGCATTTTGACCCATCTGTGCAGTGAAACACCACATACACACTAGTGAACACACACACACTAGGGGGCAGTGAGCACACTTGCCCAGAGCGGTGGGCAGCCCTATCTGCAGCGCCCGGGGAGCAGTGGAGGGTTAGGTGTCTTGCTCAAGGGCACTTCAGTCACGTACTGTCGGCTCAGGGCATCAAACTGGCGACCTTCTGGTCAGCTGGAATAATATGATTCTATGCAATCATGTGGTACGTTATTAGCATTTTGATTGATTGTTTCATGAAATTCCTCATATTAATCACAAATTTGAGACGGCTGAGTTTTAAGCAAGTTTCAAGTGAGTTGCAAACATCTGTACGTTATGCAAATGAAATTTAGTCTCAAGCAACTAAAGTTTCATGAGAGTTTCTTCATGTAAAGCCACCCTTGTATGAAAAGTGTTATGAGTCCACATTTTTATTTCCCTATTTCACAATAAGCTTTGGGAGTTTCTGAAATCTCTCTAATTGTAGGTCTGTTTGAACCCAAGGACATGAGATTTGAGGTGTTCAGAAACCGCAGCCGTGACCCCTCCATCGTGGAAATGACCGAGAAGGCCATTCAGATCCTCAGCAAGAACCCAAAGGGCTTTTTCCTCTTTGTAGAAGATGAGTATCATTCACCAGATTGCTTTGTCCTTTCATATTCATTAACTCAAATTATTCTCGTTGCGTTTTAAATATTTCCTTTTTATTTTGGCGTTGATGTTAATCCACTGTGCTCTCCAACAACTTTAACTTTAGATTCCGTCTCTTCAAGTGAATTACACCTTAAAAAGTTATCTTTTCTCTATCTATTTCATGACCGATGGAGATAAACATTTTACCATCACACACTTAAAAAAGAGGCTTCTTCAAGGGTTCTTTAATAAAAAAAACGGTTCTATATGGAACCATGAACACTCAATGAGTCTTTTTTATAATTAAAGCGTTCTTTGCATGGTGAAAGTGTTCTTCAGGTTAAAGGAGAATGTGCTGTAGATGGTTCCATATAGAACCTTTTTGAAAATGGTTCTGTATCGCATCAAAAAGGGTTCTTCTATTGTTACAAGCTTGACATCGCAACAATAGAAGAACCCTTTTTGGTGCTATATAGAGCACATTCTCCATCAATCTAAAGAACCTTTTCATGATGGAAAGAACCATTTAATAATGAAAAGGGTTTTTGAGTGTTCATGGTTCTAAAGAACCCCTGAAAAATCATCATTTTTAAGAGTGCAGAGCTAACTCGGAGTATGGATGTATTTATGTAATCTATAGATCAGTGGTAGTTATTTCTAATAATTATGTGATATATGTATACAGTTCATGATAAATATTGTAGTAAGATGACGCTGATAGATGAAAACTCAAAAATTATAAACAGTTATGAATTCTGTTCAGTGAAACTGAGAGATACAATTCTAGGCTACATAATACTACTTAACTACAAAGAACGTTAAATATTAAAATTGTTTAATGTCAAAATGCTTTAATCTGATCCCAATCCTAACACTGTTAAAAACAACCAACGTTTCGCCAGAATTATTAAAGCCATGCACTCATTTGTGGTCAAACCAAAAATGCTTAGACTATTAACATAAGCATAAAAACAAATTATTAATGTAAAAATAAATAAACAGCTTGTCTGTATTGTTTTTACTGACTATATTCCATTACTTTGTAAATGATTCCTCTGATTTGTGCTTTCAGTGCATTTCAAAAATATTTCAGTGAAATATCAACTTGATTTGTTGTGGTAAAATGGAAGATTTCATGATGAACTGAATCAGTTCCTTAATAACTGTAATCAAACAAAGGTCAGAGATTCACCCCTAGCTGATCATCTATAGAGGACAATCAAAATAAAGTGTAACAAATTGTAATTTGTACAAAATCATGACGTGATATATTGTTTTTTTGGCTGTAAGGGGGAGAATTGATCACGGGCATCATGATGGCATCGCTAAACTGGCTCTGACGGAGACGGTGATGTTTGACCGGGCAGTCCAGCGAGCATCTGAACTGACCAAAGAGTCCGAGACCCTCACTGTGGTGACTGCAGATCACTCACATGTCTTTACATTTGGTGGGAACACACCCCGGGGGAACCCCATATTCGGTGAGACCCACATTCCCAAAACACTTTCTGTGTTTCAGTACCATTAGTTGACAAAGTTGTCAACAATGTTTATTATTGACAAAAGCACTCAAAAATTCTCTATAATGTTCATATGATCCACACAGTCACTCTGACAGACTGTAATACACTACAGGAAGTGTAGGGGGCGATATGGCTTCTACTGTTTCATTTAAAAAGCCTCTATAATGTTCATATGATCCACACAGTCACTCTGATAGACTGTAATACACTACAGGAAGTGTAGGGGGCGATATGGCTTCTACTGTTTCATTTAAAAAGCTCTATAATGTTCATATGATCCACACAGTCACTCTGACAGACTGTAATACACTACAGGAAGTGTAGGGGGCGATATGGCTTCTACTGTTTCATTTAAAAAGCTCTATAATGTTCATATGATCCACACAGTCACTCTGACAGACTGTAATACACTACAGGAAGTGTAGGGGGCGATATGGCTTCTACTGTTTCATTTAAAAAGCCTCTATAATGTTCATATGATCCACACAGTCATCTAGGCTAATGAATTATATAAATTATTGGTAATTATTAGTAGTATGTTTTCTGTTTATTAATTAATACATTTTTAGATTTTTATTACAAATCTTAACACAACTCCTGTGTTATATAACACACATAACATTTTAAAATAGTGGTGAAAATGAAAAACGTGTTGTCCTGAACTGAATAAAAAATACTGCTTTATGTATTTTTAACACGTCTTTTTTGGGAGTGCAGATTAGTGTTCGTCAGTTGTGGAAAAGCAAATGAGCTCCACTTTGATGCAGTGTTGTGTTTGTTTGTTTGTTTGTTTTTAAAGGTTTGGCACCTAAGAAGGCTGATGACAGACTCCCCTTCACCAGCATCCTGTACGCTAACGGGCCGGGATACGTACACGTGAACGGGACGAGGGCGAACGTCTCGGCGGTGGACTACTGTGAGTGAGCTTCTGCTTTGCTCCTTCTGAGGACCCTTTTTTCCATGATGATAAAGCAACATTAGGTCTTGGCAGGTCCCCGTGGGGAAGAATGAAAACAAGACTTCCTTTTGGTTTCTGAGGTTAAAGTTAGGAGTCTGATGGAAAATACAGAAGAACTTGGATTATACTCGACATCCAAAAGAGCCAAAACGTTTCCTCATGATTACTGAGGGTAAAGTTAAGGTCAACTGTAGGTGACATTTAAAGCTATAGCTCATACACAGTTTCCCCTTTTGCTTCTTTAGATGCCTCTTTATGTTTTGCACTGGGGATACGAGGCTAATCTAGCTAAAGCCTTGGGTTCACTACACGACTAGTTTTAACAGATTATAAAAGGCTGGGCGTCTCACAGTACCACACTGGTTTTTGCAGATTTATTTTTGGCGACTGAAATATTGGGGATCCACACTAAACGATTAGGGATCACACACTACTCAACTTTTAATCTGCTGCTGAACCGAACGGATCTCACTGAACTCACATGAACTCTCGCGTCCTGCTGTTACTCGGAGGCCCATATGCTGCTGCTGTTTTCTCTGCCATTTGCGCTGATACAGTAAAGAAGCAGCAGGTCAACGTTTAAGTGACGGTCATAGATTTCAAAATGTGATCAGTTGGTATTTTTAGAGTTTTAAATGTACATAAACTCGATTGTGCCTTAAACTCAGCTCAATTAAAAGCTTCACTCCACATGTGAGAGACTTTTTTTCTTTGTTTACTTGCTGTATTTTCTTCTTTCGCGCTCTCAGTTTTCATTGGCTGTTGCAGGAATCCATTCAGATTGAGTCGTTGATCAGTTTACACTAGATTACACTCAGAGTTGGATCGAAAAAATCAAGCATGTTTGATAAACTCTGACTGGTCTGAAACGCAATCGGGAGGCTGTAAATCTGAGCCTGCGCCCCTCACACAAAATCGGGGTAAAGTGGTGACTCAAAACCTGACTCGGACTCACATCTCACAGACCTGAAACTTGACTCAGACTTGCATCCCAAAGACTCTGAACTCATAGACTCAAGACTCAACTCTGCCTCACAACCCAGAGACTTAAGACTTGACTAAGACTTGCACCACTGAGACTCGAGACTTGACTCAGACTCAAAGAAACAAACTTCACACAGAAACTCCCAAAGACTTGAAACTTGACTCTGACTCACACCTCATAGACTCAAGACTCAACTCTGACTCACAACCCAGAGACTTGAGATTCGACTCGGACTTGCACCTCAGAGACTCGAGACTTGACTGAGACTTGCACCTCCAAGACTCAAGACTCAACTCAGACTCGCACCGCAGAGACGCAAGGCTTGACTAAGACTTGCACCTCAGAGACTCGAGACTCAACTCAAACTCGCACCTCAAAGACTCAAAACACAACTCAGACTTGCACCTCAGAGACTCGAAACCTGACTCAGCTTGGAGGCTTGAAACTTCACTTGAACTTCTACCAAAGAGACTCGAAACACGTCTTGGACTCACATCTTAGAGATTCGTGACTTGACTCAGACTTGCATCCGAGAGATTGAAGACTCGAGTAGACCTCACAACCCAGAGAATTAAGACTCTACTCAATTGGACTTGACACCTCAAACACTCAGCACTTGACCTGGACTTGTATCCCAGAGTCAAGACTCGACTCACACTCCAGAGGCCAAAACCGGTCTCGCTCAGAGATCACAACTTAGAGACTTCAGACTTGACAGAGTCTTGTTTTCCAGATACTTGAAACTCAAACTTGCACAAATCCTGACTCCTCAGAGACTCAAGATTTGACTCAGACTCGCACCTTGGAGAGTCGAAAATCGACTCAGACTCGCACCTCAGAGACTTAAGACTCAGACATGGAGTCACATACCAGAGCTTTGAAACTTGACTCAAATTTGCAACCCAGAGACTCAAAACCTGACTCGGACTCGCACCTCACAGACCTGAAACTTGACTCAGACTTGGATCCCAAAGACTCTGAACTCATAGACTCAACACTCAACTCTGCCTCACAACCCAGAGACTTAAGACTTAACTAAGACTTGCATCACAGAGACTCGAGACTTGACTCAGACTCAAAAAAACAAACTTCCTACACCAAACATGACCAGGTCACTGCAGCTGTGGTAAAGAGGAGGGGCCTAAATTTGATCAGGTTAATTGATCCACAGCAGCTGTGTGTACTGACTGTGTACTCTCTCTCTGCAGTTGATGAGGAGTACATGCAGCAGGCCGCCGTTCCATTAGACACTGAAACTCACGGAGGAGAGGACGTAACCATTTACGCTAAAGGCCCCATGGCCCACCTGTTCCACGGAGTGAAGGAGCAGCACTATATAGCTCACGCTCTGGCCTACGCAGCCTGTCTGGAACCGTACACGCACTGCCCCCCGCTCCCCGTACAGTCAGGGACTCACAGACACTCCCTCTCGGCTCTGCTCATATCAATAACCAGCCTGATCTGCCTCGTCACCAGATGACAGCGTCAGTAACAGTAATCAGTGACATATCAGTGACTGCAACTCAGGCCTGTTTTTATATTAAACCATGTTTCTCTGTTGTTGTTGCTTTTTTTATTTTATGGAACACATATTGGGAGTTTATTAAGGTCTTATTCTGTGTTCAGTGAAAAAAAGTAATGTTTATTCACTGTATGTTAAGCTTGCGTGAAAATAAGTTACACATCCTCTACAGAGAACACATTCCTGCACATTTTAATACACAATTACTGAATTATCAACATAAAATGTGGTCTGTGCAAAAGTTACAGCACATTTTAGGTTTTATAAATCGCTGTTGTTGGAAGAAAACCTCGTATCTCCAAAACAGTAACTTTACAGGAGAAGCAAAAAACCTACTTTACTTTGAATGTAAGTCAATGGAATCAGAATTTTTTCCAAGTCATTTTGGGCCGTTACTTTTAGTCCATTCATCATGAAATTTACATACAGTAAGAGGCACTTTCGAATTATTTGAAAAACTGAAAAACGTCAAAAATGGAGATATGAGGTTTTCTTCCGACAACAGCAAAATATAATATATATATTATATATTATATTATTATAATATATATATATATATATATATATTATATATATAATATTTTTCCATATTTTCCATATACTTTATTTCCATTATTTCCATTGTCCATATATTTTCATATTTCCAATATGTTGCACTAGAAATTGTGCGCTAAAATTTACCAATAAATCAACAAATACATGTTATTTGACCAACAATGTTCAAACTTTTGCATATGACTGTACATGATTAGAGGTCTATTATGTGAAAAACACTAATAATTGCAGACTTTGACAAAATGCAAATAGCTGAGTATGAATTAATTACCTGAATTCACTTCTTATTAGCATATCATTTGCATTACTTTATTACTATAGGTTCCAGATAGCCTCAGGTGACTTCTCAGGTTTATTACTCAAGAGCTAATAAGAGCTTCATAGGTCACTGATAGTTTACGATGTGCTCCTTGCAGAATAAAGTTTTAGTCGTCACTAATTAGAAGCTAAAATACACCAAACAAGTTTTTAGTAAATTAGTTTGGTCCCACATTCTAAAGTAAGTTTCGTTTTTATGGCTTTTTGGTAGCCAAAAAAAATTCAAGCTGGGAATAATTAGTGTTGATTCAATTTAACAAACAAATGCGTATAAATTCAACTTGTGTTTTTTATATCAATAAAAGGTGTTGAATTTGTGATGAAAATACACTTATTGAAAACTTGTTTGGTGATTAAAACTCGACTTACACACATCTTAAAGTGCTGAAAAGCACTTCTTGCTAAAAGTGCTGATGTTTTATGAGCTCATACGTCTTATAATGCAATAAATGACGGAAGTCACTTGACGTGTAGGAAGAAAACGCTGCCAATTATACATTAATAATTAATCGTGAAGATAGGTGATTCATTCATGCTCAATCATTTGCAGAATAAGTCCTTAACAGTGTTTACTGTGTATTATTATGACTAATAATGTAATTAGTAGAGATTTTCACATAACAAACCTGCAATTATGTTTTATAATACCCGTCAGAATGAATGAAGCTAAATGCACAGTGAATAAACCATTTAGAAGTGTTTAATTTGAGCTTTACTGAATAAATAACAACAGCTTAAACCATCAATATGTGTTCCTTAAAAAGTGTTACTTTTTTACACAATTCAAAAAAATCAGCTGCTCTTTACTTTGTGTGTTTTCTTTTGACCAGTAGAATAGGTCAGAGACTACAGACCAATGGAAATGGACAGGTGACAAATTAAAGGAAATACCTGAATTAATGAACGGAGGAACATATCAAGCATAGGTACATCTAGACAGGTGTTCTGCATAATACAATTAAGTAATTAACATCATACCATGATGGAAAATGGAAACATCTAGAAGCATCATCAGCTCAGCCATGAAGCGGTAGACCACGCAAACTCCCAGCGCAGGGCCACCAAGCGCTGAAGCGTTTAGTGTGTAAAAATCACCTATACTCTGTTGCATCACTCACTACAGAGCTCCAAACTGCCTCTGGAAGCAACATCAGCACAAGAACTGAGCATCAGGAGCTTCATGAAATGGGTTTCCATTGCCCAGCAGCTGTACGCAGGCCTAAGATCCCTATGTGCAATGCCAAGTGTCGGCTGGAGTGGTGTAAAGCGCCGCCACTGGACTCTGGAGCAGTGGAAACGTGTTCTCTGGAGAGATGAATCAGCTTCACTATCTGTCAGTCTGATGATGAATCTGGGTTTGGTGGATGCCAGGAGAACGTTACCTAGTGGAATGCATAGTGCCAAAAAAGTGTGGTGGAGGAGGGATGATGGGCTGGGACTGTTTTTCAGTGTTTGGGCCCCTCAGTTCCAGTGAAGGGTGATGTTAAAACTCTGCAAGAGCAGGAGGAAGAAACCTTGAGAGGGACAAAGAGCCCATTCTTCTCTGGTAGCAAAACTACAGAATAAAAGCAATATGAGTTATGAAATAGTGATTAAAGAGAGATTTAATATACAATAATGAATAATGAAAAAAAGAAGTGAGCCTGATTAAAGGGAGGAAATGTTCATATTACTGATTCCTATCAGAGGTTATTTAAACCTCTGGGCTCCCCAAAATTAATCACACGACAGATTCTATGTTTCTGTATCTGTGTCTGTATCTTTGTGATGATCCAGCTCAGAAATCCAGTTCAAACACTTCCTGAATCTGTAGAGTCGCCCTTTCCATTCCATCTTATCACCAGATCATACGAGACTCACATCCGGAGTTATGAGCCTATGAAGAGGGGCTGAGATACACGTCATCTGCCTCTCACCGTGTGGAACTGGTGGATTTGTGTGTCCATCTACACTCAGGAAATCACTAAGGACTGACCATCACGCCGGAAACCCTTCATTCTTCATTCAGTCCACATCGGAGACTCATGTGAAACGGCGTGCAGAGAGTTTACAGCTGCTGAAGCTGCTGCAGCAGTTTTGGAAAGTAGTGATGAAGATAACGGAGCATTTAGATATGAAACATATGAGGATCATGTTATATGAAGAGACTTTAAAGGAGAGATTAAGAGGAGATGAACAAATGGAGAAAATAACCTCTTTTAAATGAATGACAGTGCAGTTTCAGAGGCGCCAAGAAGCATTAAATCTGGCCCAAGTCACTACATCTATTCTTTAATTTGTCACCCGTCTGCATATACAGTACTGTGCAAAAGTTTTAGACACTTAGGCACATTATTTGAAGCCATTTAACTTGGCAGAAAATGTGTTTTTGCTTGTAAAAATCATTAGAATAAATGCAAATAAACACAAATACAGTAAAAAGTAACAAGAATTTGTTGTTTTCAGAAAAGTTGTTGATGTCTTGATGAAGTTGTTGATGTATTAAGAAGATAAAGCGGGTACTGCACTGCAAAAAATGGCATCCTGTCAAGGGAAATGATCTTAAATCTAGTCGATGTATCTAATATTTCCCGTTGTGCACTTATTATCAATTTATCTAGCTTATTTCTGGACTCTTTTCACTTGTTTTCAGTCATTTTCTTTAGTAAAATTCTCTCACTATACTGGCAGATCATTTTGCTGGTTTCAAGCTCATTTCTTACCACAATTATCTGCCAATATAGTGAGATAATTTTACTAAATGTATTTCCTTAAAACAAGTAAAACATTTCTAGAAATAAGGTAAATAATGTGAAATTAATCTTACAATAATCTTAACAGGAGAAATATTAGATTTATTAACTATGTTTAAGATAATTTTACTTGACAAGTTTGTGATGACAAATACTACTAGCAGGAAATGGTTAAACAAACACATTTACACAGAAAATAACTGCTTATAAGTGTTTAAACATTGCTTGGCAATGCGCCACACTATTGTTATCTGAGGGCATATTATTGTTCCAGATGTTTGTTCACTAACTCGTGCACAGTTTTTCGAGATATTGACACCATTCCAATTTTGAAATGTTTGTTCTGATTGGGAACCGTGTGCTTATAAACAGCTTTTTGATCGGACGTACGGTTTTCATACAGTTGCAATTAAATGATGATTTTTTTCCCCATAGGACTGAATGGAGGGCAAATAAGCACCCAGCTTATTTCCCAGTGATATACTGAGGTTTATTAACAACACTCTATTAACCATGAGGGGTACCTTAGAAACGAGCAACCCCATAGAAATCAACAGGGATACCACAGCAAATGCTTAGCAACACTTTAGCAGCCACTTGGGACACCATAGCAACCAACTGGCATATCAAACCAAATCGTTATCAACACCTTAGCAACCACCTAAAATACCATAGTAACCATTTGGCACCCTAGCAACTGTCTAGCAACTGCTTACACTGCATAATCGCTGAATTTTCTTCAGGAAATATATTTACTTTATATATATTTTTTACTGTTATATTAATGTTATTTGCATATATTCTAAATTTCTGAGCAAATTAACACTTTCTAACTTTCTCAGGTGCCTAAAACTTTTGCACATTACTCTGTATGTTGATGCTGTCAGCACAACACCTATTTTTTATTTTTTTATTTTATTTTATTTTATTTTATTTGAGAACATCAGCTGCTCTTTACATTGTGTGAACATTTCATATTTCATGATGGATCAACAGAAATGGAGCACATTTACCTGGAATAAAGTCTTGCTACATTAATATACACAAACTCCTATAAAGTTTGGAATTTGGAAGATGCGAGATTATATATAAACGTTTGTACTTTTTCTTGCTGACTCGCTGACTCGTGGTTTTGTATCAGGTTTTTTACAGATGGTTTTATTACATTTTATGTATCTGTTTTATACGATGTTTTATGATAATTATCAACGTAGAGATTGACTTTGACCTTCCAATCAATGCACAGCTGGTTTATGAGAGAAAAGAATCCATACATGTTTATTTACAAACGTTTGTGATACGATTGTAATAACAAATGTTTTTGTCTATGCAGAAGTTTTCTATGCGTTTTTTTAACACAGAGGTGTAAAGATTAGTAAGTTTGAATATATGTTGAATAAACTGTTTCTTATTACATAGTTATACTTCTATATCTATGGTAAACTGATACTTTTTCTCTTCAAAAAATGTCATTTTCAATTTGTTTATTATGCACATCGACTTCAATTCATATTTACACTTTAATGAAAGTGGCCAGTGGAGATCTTTTTCACTGGGGGGTAAAAGTCTAATTTTTTTCACCTTTTACACACCCTCCTTTACAACAAGGAGCTAATGATCACAGTTAATAAACACATTAAATCAAGTGAAAAAAGAAAAAATGTTTGGTTGGGTGTCAAGATAACCTCCTGTAGCATTAGCAGGAACTGATACTCAGCACTGGATTCACCTTTAAATATAACCTGCATTATTAAACACACACATGTGCTCAGCTGTATTTAGCTTACATGATAAATGATAGACAGCAGTACACGACTGTAAACATTAGTAGTTACTAATATTTGATACACACTTAAAAATGTTTTTTCGAGGGTTCTTTACTAAAGAAAATGGTTCTATATAGAACCATGAACACTCAAAGAACCCTTTCCATGATTAAAGAGTTCTTTGCATAGTGAATAGGTTCTTCCGATTGATGGAGAATGTGTTTTATATGGTTGTATATAGCACCAAAAAAGGTTCTGCTATTGTTACAATGTCAAACTTGTAACAAAAGAAGAACCCTTTTTGGTGCTATATAGAGCCATTTCCAAAAAGGTTCTATATAGAACCATCTGCAGCACATTCTCCATCAATCTGAAGAACGCTTTCACCATGCAAAGAACCATTTCAGAACCCTTTGCAAGATTCAAGGGTTCTCTCTCTCTGCCTGAAAAGGTTCTTGAGATTGATGGAGAATGTTCTGTAGGTGGTTCTATATAACATCTTTTTTAAAAGGGTTCCATATAGCACCAAAAAGGGTTCTGCTGTAGTTTTAGTGTCAAGCTTGTAACAATAGACGAACCCTTTTTGGTGCTGTACAGAACCATATACAGCACATTCTCCATCACCCTGAAGAACACTTCCACGATGCAAAGAACCCTTTAATTATGCAAAGGGTTCTTTGAGTGTTCATGGTTCTATATAGAACCATTTTCTTTACTAAAGAACCCTTGAAGAACCATCTTTTTTAAGAATGTACTATGAATAAAGGTTTCCTTGCATCGTGAAAGGGTTCTTCAGATTGATGGAGAGTTGTATATGGTTCTAAGTTTGTACATTATGTGAAGAATAAGGTATGTTTTGTTCCCTGTTCTCTTCTCGCTGCTGAATCTTAATTTAAAATCTTCAGTAATCCACAAAGTGTACAACATGTAACCAAGGTGCGAAATACAAGGGGTCCGGGACCCCAGTTAACCTCTTGGACCCCCTGAATGTCTCAAAATCAAAATTCTGAGGGTCCCTGAAAATTTAAAATTTAAATTTAAAAAAGTTATTATGAAGTTTTGCTGTCCGTTTGGGAAAAACAGACACTCAAATCCAGATTCAGTGAAGCTCATAGTTTATCTGCTTCCCCCACAATCAGCTTCTGTCTTTCCTCATTTCTCACCCTGAAGACAGAAGAGGAGACGAGGAAGATCTCAGTTACTGTGAGGAAGAGCGCAGAACCTCACTAGAACAGAGACTCTACAGAAGAGGAGACGAGGAAGATCTCAGTTACTGTGAGGAAGAGCGCAGAACCGCACTAGAACAGAGACTCTACAGAAGAACAGCTGATAAAACAAACATTTACTGACATTGAAGCATCAGCGCCGCTATGATGAGTAGAGGTGCGGGAAAAACTCGATTCTTAGATGCATCGCGATGCGGACGTGAACGATTCTGAATCGATTCATAAATGTCAAAAATCGATTTTCTAAATATTTACTTTATACCGTAATGTTCACGGAACTGGAAGTGGGTAAGTGCAGCACCCGGACTGTCTGTGGGACACGTAACAAAAACACAACTGGATAAGTGAGAAATCCGACCGGCTCCCTCTGCATTAAAGCCAGGTTAGGTCAGGAGTCACAGCACAAATGATAAGAAGAGCCATTTTGCCTTTCAACAAAGTCAAACCAGCTTGGGAGCCACAACGTTTAATGTCCGGTATGTCTCAGTATGTATTAATGTCCTAGTATAGACTAAACAATATAATATATATATATAACAGTATATTTACTCTACTCTACTTTAAGCTTCAGCTACAGCCGCTTTCCTCTCATCTCCGCCAGAAAACCTTTCTTCAAAACTAGAAGAGTTTCTGGTAAAATGTCTCAGCATGCGGCTGTTTTACGAGGCTGAAGTCGCTTCTCATTCGCCAGTTTCTCGTTCTAATTTTCCCGTTCCACCTTAAATTCTGCCTTAGGCGCCGAATGTAACTGCTGCACCATTTAAGGTGGAACAGGAACATTTGAAAGAGAAGCGATTTCATTTTCGCAACTTTTTAGGGAAAGGTGCTGCGTGGACACCCATCACCACTGGATCTTATTTCAGGGTAACAGCGCATTTGATCGCAGATGAGTGGCAGCAGCGTCTCTGAATGAGAGCCTTCTAGTTGACTTGCCACATCACTTCCATTTGATTTATTAATAAAAGATATTTTAGATATTTAAAGCAAAGTATTTGTAATGATCCGTAATGCATTTACATTATGGATCATTACAAATACTTTGCTTTAAAACTACCAAGTCCTCAGACAGTATGAAGATGGAAATCCTGCATAGAGAAAAAAGATGCATCGATAATCATTTTATAATCGCATCGCAGCCTCTGAATCGCAATCGAATCGAATCGTGAGGTGCCTAAAGATTCCCACCCCTAATGATGAGAGAGTTAGCAGACAGACAACATGGGACCCTTGAATACCAGGGGTTGTTTCACACACTGACTGTAACCAAAAATAGAGTGATTCACTAAATTAGAGATTTCTTTTAATGGTTTTAAATGTTTTCCTAGTTTTCCTAAAGCCAGTGTCAGATGTTTTCTTAAGCAAAATGAAGAAAAATAACGTTAAGGTGTAATTTAGTGACACGTCCTCTACAGAGACACACTCCTGCACATTTTAATACACAATTACTGTTTATTTACTGAAGTTATTACACTGGGGGAAAATAAACTATAAATTGTGGCCTGTGCAAAAGTATTGGCACATTTTATATCATATGTTTTGTGTTTTTTTTTTTAATTTCTTAAACTCAGCAAATAGTAATTGTGTAATGAAATGTGCAGAACCGTGTTCTCTGTAGAGGACGCTTTAACTTACTTACACCTAGAAAACCAGCAACATGTCATTAGACTGGGGGTGTTCAAACTTTTGCATATCGCTGCTGTCGGAACAAAACCTCATTTTTTTAATGGTTTTGACATACATACCTGTTGCCCTTTACATTGTGTGTAAATTTTATGAATAAACCAAAAGAAAAGGCCCAAAATCACCTGGAAAAAGGTCTGGTTCCACTGACGTACACTAAAAGTATGATTTTTGTTTCCTTCTCCTGTAAAGTTGTCATTTTGGAGATATGAGGTTTGGTTCAGACAGCAGTGATATAACAGTATAATATTAAAAATCCTTCTGTAAGGCAATCAAAAAAATGATCTGAAAGATTTCTCAACCAATTTCTAGACATTTTTGATCATTTAAAACTTATATCTGTCACAGCCACCTATTTTAAGTAATTCAATTTAGCTAAATAAATAAATAAATAAATTTAAAATATGTTTAAACAAGTTGTATAATCTTATACAATTCTTACCACAATCTCATAATGATAAATATTAGACATATTAACTAGATTTAAGATGATTTCACATTCCATGCTGCTGTGATGAATATTTCTCGATGTATATCTGATTGTCAGGTTGTTATATGACGGTTCTATGGTTTTATTTCTAGGTGGAACATTGTAATTAAACTATATGTAAACGCTTATCAGTAAATTTTACATTAAATATTAACTCATCCTCTCAACCTTTCCAGCTCTGCACATGAATCCCTCAGTGAGCCAGTGAAAGGGGGTCATAGCGGCCATTTGTTAATGCTGAACCACACGACCTGGTCACAGCATTTATGTTTAACTTGTTTTAATGAGTTATGATTGGAAAGTTATAGTTTCCGAGTGTGTGGAAACCTGCAGAGAGTAAACAGCTTCTACACAGATAATACATGCATTCATTTCATCTATATATGCTCTTTTATGTGCATTCAGTCATTTATGAAGCCAGTCAAATTGAGTCAGATAGCAGTTACAACTATTTAGCTTGCTTTTAATGTCTCTGTAAACATATTTTTAAAAGGTGCTATACACTGACTGGCCCACCTCCTCATTTCTACACTCACTGTCCATCTTATCAGCTCCACTGACCACATAGTTTCACTCTGTAGTTCTACAGTTACAGACTGTAGTCCATCTGTTTCTCTGCATACTTTGTCGCCCTGTTCTTCAGTGGTCAGGACCCCCATGGACCCTCACAGAGCAGGTACTATTTGGGTGGTGGGTCATTCTCAGCACTGCAGTAACACTGACGTGGTGGTGGTGTGTTAGTGTGTGTTGTGCTGGTCTGAGTGGATCAGACGCAGCAGTGCTGCTGGAGTTTTTAAACACCTCAGTGTTACTGCTGGACTGAGAATAGTCCACCAAACAAAAATATCCAGCCAACAGTGTCCTGTGGGCAGCGTCCTGTGACCACTGATGGAGGACTAGAGGATGACCAACACAAACTGTGCAGCAGCAGATGAGCTATCGTCTCTGACTTTACATCTACAAGGTGGACTGACAAGGTAGGAGTGTCTAATAGAGTGGACAGTGAGTGGACACACCAGCGCAACCCACACTAACACACCACCACCACGTCAGGACACAGACCAGGACCATAGACAGTGTTAATGGAGTGTCCGGTTGGTATCTAAACAACATTCCTCATTCTTATTCTAAATGAATGAATGTATTGCCTAAGCTTTTCATGCGCGGCCGTCAGGCCTGTTTGCATGTGCTGTGGTGTGAGCTGTTTTTGTGTGCGTGATTAATGAGTGATTATGTAGTTTGTAGGTGATAAACGTGGTGATAAGGCAGCGTGTCCTCACTGAGGGAATCTTCAATGACCTTTGATCTGAAGTGTGGCTATAAACAGGTGTGTATTGCGCTGCTGACGTTGCCTGTGTTACCTGTGTACAGGTGTTTGCACCATGGCTGCACAAACCTCCCTCAGAACAGGACTATTACTTTTATTTTTCAGTAATGTTTTCATTAACAGCTGTTCCTCCGATGGCCCGGGTAAGTCTATTTAAAAATATTCAAATGTTCATTTGTGGATTAAAAAATAGTTGATGCTAAATAATCAATAGCAGATACTGAATAATATGTGGCAGAATTACCAAATATTCCGTTTCTACTATAAATTATTCAGCAACTACTGTAAATTATTCAGTATCTGCTTTGAATTATTTATGTACTATGAATTATTCAGTGTCTACTATGAATAATTCAGTGTCTACTATGAATTATTCAGTATCTATTATGAATAATTCCGTGTCTACTATGAATTATTCAGTATCTACTATGAATAATTCAGTGTCTACTATGAATTATTCAGAATCTATTATGAATAATTTGGTAACTACTATGAATTATTCCGTATCTACCATGAAACTAATGTTTAAATTCTGTATTTCTGAGAAATTAAAAGAATTGAAATGTACACACAGACCTTTAGCGTGTGCAGGGTTAATGTGTTCATTTGAATAGTGTTAATTATGCTAATAAAGAGTATTTATTCATAAACTGTGTTGTGTTTTGGTGTTTAGTGGAAGAAGAGGATCCACGGTTTTGGAACGTGAAAGGAAAGGATGCTCTGATTGCGGCTCTGTCCCTGAAACCAAACGTCCACCGCGCTAAAAACCTCATACTCTTCCTGGGAGACGGTGCGTAAGCTTGAGTAAAGCCTTTAATCCGTCCTTTAGGTAAATTCAGTCTGGCTGTAATCTTTAATGAATAGTCCTTATTGGTGTGACAAAGGTTCTTTGTCTCTTCATGAAGCATAAAGTTCAAGACATTATGTAGACAAAGACTGTGCAAACGCATTAAGCAGCGAGAATAAATGTTTAAGACCGTTTATCTGGGTAGACAGTCGAATAAATACAACATACAAACAGTAAAACCACTGCAGATGTAAACACTAAATAAATGAATAACCCTTAAATGTGTCCAAATTATTAAATAAATTGACTGATTTTGTTGTTGCTGTTCAAATCGGATGTTGGAGGTGGTGTGCTGGTGTTGTTTAGCGAAATCATTACATCTGATTTTATATCGAAGGACTGGATTAATGAAGGAAAGTACATGATGTAATCATTCAGTGTCTAATTTAACTTATTAATGGATCATTTACATACAGATGCATATTCATTCACTTAGAATAAATGTGCCTGAGTTTGAAACTGGTTTTGTTTTGAATTTGACTGGGCAGGTTTGGCTATTTCAGTTATAAGCTGTCTCAATTAGACTTTCGGTAATAATACTAGTAATACATTTGTAACATTTATAATACTAATACATATTTATAACATTCTAGTACTCAAAGTGCTGCAGGATAAAATAACAGCAAACCAAGATGCAAATGAAGCTGTACCATAGACATTTAACACAAGCAGCAAAACAAAGGCAGCAGTAATAAAATATACATAATCCAGGAAATAAAATGAGTAAGGCAAATAAATATAAACCAGACCCAGACGACTGCTGCTAACGCTAAAAACGAAAGTGCTGCAAACACTCACAGCACAACACAGTTAACCTCTTAGCAATCCAGGTTTATTTTCCTACAAAAGCTTATTATTCAGTAACTACAGGGACTTCAGTGCAAACTGGCTGAGCTATTCTTAGATTATAGAAGTGTGTAATAAAGCTTTGGGCCTGCTGGGGGCCCATGACTTATTAAGGTGTTAATAAAATAAAATAAATGAATGAATAAACAGAGAGTGATGAGATCTCAGGCTTCAGAAGGATCTGAGCTCAAAATCTGAATAAGCTGATGTAATATGATAAGTTCATAGTGCAAAGTGCAATTGTGTTTTAAATAATCAAGATTGAGGGCTTTTCTTATGTAATCAACCGAGGAGCACTTCACTAAAAACACTCTCTCACTCTTAGATTTAAGTTTGCTGCAAGTCAAGGTGAGGGAACGTGCTGAGTGAGAGTGCAGGCAGGGCTGAATTGAATCACACAGACACTGTAGCACCACATTCTGAACTGCAGAATTTTGTATCTAATACGTTCACAAACAGGAAGCCAATGGGGGCAGTCGTGGGGTGGAGGTTAGGGAACCAGCCATGTGACCGGAAGGTCGCTGGTTCGATCGCCTCAGCCAACAATACGTGACTGAAGTGCCCCTGAGCAAGGCACCCAAACCCCAATTGCTCCCTGGGCTGTGGATAGGGCTGCCCACCACTCCGGGCACATATGCTCACTGCCCCCTAGTGTGTGTGTTCACTGGTGTGCATGTATGTAGGTTTTTCACTGCACGGATGGGTTAAATGCGGAGGTCTAATTCCTCTGTGTGCAAACGCAGTTGGCCAATGGTTCTGAATTCTACGTAATTTCACAAGCACAGGAGTGATGTGTTGACGTGGAGAGGTATGAGTGAACACAGTCTGCAGGATTCTGCACGTACTGTAACTTTTTCACAGATCTGGCAGGAAAGAAAAGAGCTTCACATGGAAATTTCTCAATTCAAGATCAAAGATGTTTGTGAAATCCGTTCATCCTCGATATGTATGAAGCAAACAGTTATGCAGTTTAAAATCTTTCACCAACTGCACTGGACCAACATAGACCCACTATGTGACCATTGCAAGCAGAACCAAGTCACTCTAATTCACATGTTCTGGGATTGTTCTAAACCAGGGGTGTCACATTCTACCACTAAAAGTGCCCTATTAAAAAATCTCAGCAGATCTGTGGGCCGGGGCTTTATTTCATTTTTACTCAACATTTTGTTTATTCAAAATATGCCAAAACTGCAACAGCAAAATAGGCAATAATTACTGATAAAAAATAATTTTAAATAAAAATAAATTGTTTTAGGTAGTTTTTTTTACAATTGCCTATTTGTTGGAATTAGATCCCAGGCATCTTTTCCTTTTTGTGTAACCGCTGGCCCAGAGATTGTTGTTGGGGGAATGGGGTTGAAACGCACTCTATGTTGCAGTGCATGCTGGGGACTGTAGTGCATCTCAGGGTGAAACAGGCTAATTTTGCAGGCCGAGTAGGATTGTCCCATGGGCCTGACTTGGCCAGCGGATCTTGTGTTTGACACATGGGTTCTATTTAAATCTATTTAACTATTTAATTTCTGGCAATCAGTATTTGATATGCTTTCTACCATTACTAATGAATCATTAGAACCATCAGCCTCTCCTGCTTTATCTGATGTGGTAACACAAAATCTTACTTCAAATAACGACAAATTACATTTGTATCTTTTATCCTATCGTTGGTGGCCAGATGACAAATTCTGGTTAGATGGAAAGACAAGCAACCCCCGATATTTGCACAACAGATTAGAAATATGTTGTATTTTATTAAGCTGGAGAAGATTAGCTGCATGGTTGGGGTGAGCTGATAAGTTTACATAGATATGGTGATCTTTCCTCTGTCATGTTGAGGCTTTATGCTCTGCTAATTTTACAGCTGAGTAAAGTCGTCAGTTTGTATGTATATAAATGGGAGTCTTGGAAATGAAGCCCTGGAAGAACCCTGATTCGTCTTAGTGCTCTCCTTCCTCCTGCGTTCTCCAAGAACGTTAGTGACTTAGAAAACAGAATGTGTTTCAGGCCCCTGTCGACTTATCATTAAATATTTATTTATTTAATTACAGTTATATTTTATATATTTAGCTATGACAACTTTACATTATTTGTATATTTATGTTCACTTATTTAATACATTTTTTGTATAATTTAAATCGTATACTTTCTGAATGTTACGATGGGTGGGGGGCTGTGCTTATCAGAAAACTAATATATTCTATACATTCTTGAGGTTGATTATCGGGTGGGACAACAAGATTCCTTGCAAATGTAGAGCAAAGGAAAGGCTGATGTTTACTTTTTTATTAGAAAAAGAATAAAAGAAGCTCAGACTCAGAACCAGTTAATTTATGAAAATTATGCTGCATTTGCGACTTCACTTCATTAAGACAGGATGTAAGAACAGCTGAAGAATGAGGGCAGATTGAATGGCAACATAAATTTGGGTACCATCTGCATTGAATTTAAAATTTAAACCAAATTTTCTGGATAATATGACCAAGCGGCAGCAAATGAATACAAAAAAAGAATCGGCCCAAGAACAGAGCCCTGAGGAACACCCTAATGTACTGGAGCAGAACGGAATTTCTCAGCGCAGATAAAAAACAAACTGAACTAGTCAAGCAGAGCAGCCAAGCCAGCTTTCTGTCTGGTCAAGTAAATGAGAATGACTTTTGATCCATGTTTATAAACTCTGTTATTGATTTTGCTTTGCTGAATGGATTAACATTATCGTCTTTAGACTGAAACCTAAACACACACTTATTATCAGTTTTACACACTAGATTAGATAAACAGGACAAACCTTAGACTTAATGATGTAGCATGTGCAATGTGCATGAGTGTAAGTGTACAGTAGGCTACTGTGCAAAAGTCAGAGACCCCACTTCATATATCTAATTTTCTGTCAAAACGGTCATTAAGTACAAGTCTTTCATTTTTCATGAGATATTTGTGAGGAGATTAGATTAGATATAAGATCATCCACTTGCATAATGAAGGAGAAAGTCCAAAGCTGGATTTCAAAATCTGATTAAAAGCTCCAGAGAAAATGTGTCTCGAAACAACCACCTGGAAGAGCTGGTCGACCCCAAAACTGCCCCCATCAGATAAACAGCACTTAAAGCTTTCATCTCTGAGAGAGAGGAGAAAATCAAGCTGCTTCAGATCTGAAAACATCCACAGGTGTTTCTGTCCATCCTTCCACTGTGAGAAGACGACTCAGCGCTGTGGGTCTGAAAGGATGTGTAGCTGATCAAGAAGAACCTCACTGAGAAAAGGAGATGGACACATCAAACAAAGAAGCTGAACGATGGACTGACCACCCCAGAGTCCAGACCTCAACACCACTGAATGTGTTTGATCACTTCAGAAAATCATCAAATCATCAGCTTCTCAGACTGAACTTTGGAGGTGTGTCTGCAGATTCTTTGAGGAACTGAAAGTGAGGCTCCTGAAGAGAATGGAAGCTGAAGGAGTGACACACCGAAATCTGAAAAATCTGAAATTATGTTTAGCTGTTGAGGCCTCTGTGTGTTTGTCTGTTAGATATACAGTTGCTACTTATTTTTCTTGACGCTGAAAAATGAATAACTTGTGCCGGTGAACGTTCTTTGGTCCTTGTTAGAAAAAAATGTGCTGGTCATGGTTAATCTATATGATTAGAGTCCATTAACTTTACAGACCACTGTAATCTTTTAATGGCGTTTTCTCTGCACTGCCCGCTCTATTATACGCAATAAACTACATTATCTTTATTCCTGATAGTTGCATAACTCTGTTCCGTAGGTATGGGCGTCAGCACTGTGACGGCCGCACGGATTCTCAAGGGTCAGTTGGATGGAAAACCTGGGGAGGAGAACATGCTGACCATGGACACATTCCCATATCTGGCTTTATCCAAGGTGCTTTACACTGTCCATCAGAAGCCTGAGGACAGCTAGCTTAGGGATGTGAAACTCTGTTCTCACAAAAATTCAACTATGAGTTTTTAAGAAATTATTAAATCAATTAATCAATTAATTTCAATCATGAAATTAAACTTCTTGTTCTATAATTTGATTAGTTATTTTGGTACAATTCAGGGTTATTTAAAAAAAATATACAAAAATAACTAAAGGAATTATTTACAATACAGACAATAATACTATGAATTATTCAATATCTACTGTAAATGATTCAGTATCTACTGTCAAGTATTCAGTATGTACTATAAAATACTCAGTATCTAATATGAATTATTCGGTATCCACTATGAATTATTCAATATCTACTATGGATTATTCAGTTTCCATCATGAATTATTTAGTTTATACTATAAATTATTTAGTATCTACTCTGAATTATTCAGTATCTGTTATGAATTATTCAGTATCTACTATGAATTATTCAGTATCTACTATGAATTATTCAGTATCCACTATGAATTATTCAGTATCTACTCTGAATTATTCAGTATCTACTATGAATTATTCAGTATCCACTATGAATTATTCAGTTTCTGGTATGAAACTAATGTGTAAGTTCTGTAGTTATGAGAGTGAGGAGCTGTTTGGACTCTCTTTAGAGTTTCAGGAGTTAATCTACTTATTTACCTGATGTTTCTTCTATTTTGTCCCCTTTGCCATGCAGACCTACAATGTGGACCAGCAGATGCCGGACAGCGCTGCCACGGCGACGGCGTATCTGTGTGGCGTGAAGGCAAACTATGGCACTTTGGGCCTCACTGCGGCGGCCCGGCGCTCCCAGTGCAGCACACAGAAGGGCCACGAAGTCTATTCAGTCCTGCACCGGGCCAAAGCCGCAGGTACAGCGCCACCATCTGTCTACTGACAACACAGCTGCTGTGACACTGCTTTCTCAGATGTGGAGTAAACTCAGCCTGAAACAGGGTTTAGGGTATTTGCTGCCACCTTGTGTTCAAACAACTCATAGAAAGGGTTATTTTATTTTTCTTTTTTTCCACACATTAATAAATTAATATTTCACAGATTAACTTCTAAGGAGGTGCACAGTAATGTGTGTGACATAATGATTGGAGTTCTACATTTTCAACTCCAAATTTCAAAGTTTATTAGCTCCAGTGCTAAAACTACTAAAGTAACATTCAGACACCAAACGTGTCTTTGCTAAGGTGGGAAACTGGGTAAATTTGTTTGACACAAATTCAAAATACATATAAGATAATGACAATTTTAGTTATTTACATAGACTATGTTCTGATCTATTTGAACCCAAGGTATTAATAGAGATAGTAATAAGCTAAATATATACACAATCATCATTTATAGGGTACTTCCTATTGGGAGGAGTCTGTCCCAAACACTAACTTCTAAGTATACACTTGTGAACAAATTACTTTTTTTTAATATCTTTTAGACTTCTTTTAAACTGAAGTTAAAGATGTAGATTCATCATGTTTAATAAAAAAAAAAGAATGTTAATCCAAAAATTGCTGTCCCACACAGCTTTAGTCTGTAGGTGGAGCCTTATTTTAGCCATGCCCCTGCATTTCAGAGCAGGAAGTGAGGCTGCATCCCTGTCCCTCATGGCCACATGGTGAGCAGTTAGATCCCATTGTTTTGAAGTAAATGAGTCCCAAAGTCTGAAAATCAGTGTGGAACATTAAGAATCAGCATATTTTCTGCAGTTCAGAACTTTTTAGTGTTTTAATGACAAATACAATGATTTTATGTGTGACAGCTGTTCAAAGCTGTGTTGCTGGTCATTTACTGGCTGCGTTTTGAGTTCTATTTAAAATTAAATTATAATTAAGGTACAGGGTCAATCGAAGCAAAACGACTTTAGTCTAAAGTCCAAATCAGTTAAAAGCCCAAAATGTGCTTCCAATTCTGACTTTGAACCAGTTTGGTAGAATAATCCATATATTGTCGTTGTCTGAACGAAATCATGTCCAGTATAGTAAATTTACAGAAAGAAGAGAAACATTCTTAACTTTGAATGGAAATTAAAGGAACAAGATTTTTTTTTTCCATGTAATTTAGGAGCTTGTCTATAAAAGTTGAGCATGTTACAAAGGCTGGCTGGCATTTTTAAATTCTGTAAAAAAAAAGTTCAAATTGTCAAAAATGGGTATTTTTGATGAACATTTTGTTCCAACAACACTGATGTGATCACAGCTGAATGAGGTTTGGATTTTTATTCCCTTCAGACAGTCAGATGAAGAGACCAATTAGAAAACAGACAAACATCATGAACCTGCCTCCTGAAACTTCTCCCTCCACTTTTTCCAGGGAAGTCTGTTGGCATTGTGACCACCACGAGAGTCCAGCATGCCTCCCCTGCTGGAAACTACGCCCACATCGCTGAGCGAGACTGGTACAGCGATGCTAAACTGTCGTCTAGCGCAGCGAATGAAGGCTGCACAGACATCGCCTACCAACTCGTCCACAACACTGACATCAACGTGAGACCTTTTACCCAGATGTGTTTGTTTGGTGTCTGAAATTCCTTAGCTTCAGCACAGAGTCACAGGGCTAATGTAGCTATGAATAAAAGCTTATACCCCACCAATTAGCATGATGCTAACTGCATGCCTACCCTGCATGAATTCCATGCTGGTCTATACTGGTTTAAGGTGCTGGTTTAGCTGGTAACGGTTATGCTCAAGCTGGTTGAGCAGCATACCAGCATCCAAAACACAACATATCGCCGTTGTTGGAACAAAACCTCGTATCTCCAAAATGGTAACTTTACAGGAGAGGGAAAAAACCTGCTTTACTTTGGGCCGTTTCTTTTGGTTCATTCATCATGAAATTTACATACAATGCGAACAACAACTGGTATTTTCAAATTATGTCAAAAACTGAAAAATGACAAAAATGGAGATACGAGGTTTTGTTCCGACAGCAGCGATATGCTGGTGTTGCTGGTGACCAACTAGCTATGCTAAATCACAAACTTGCCTCAAACTGTGTGGAGGTGTTCAGTGTCTCTATTACTCTGGATTGTGTGGTTTCTGACACTGTATGACTCACTGTTATCTAGAAACATGGACTAAAAACCAGCACCAGCAAAACCAGCATATGTTGTGTTCTGAATGCTGGTATGCTGGTCAGCAGCAGTGGGAGTTAAAGGACCAATGAGCGATTTTTACAATAAAAAAACGAAACATTATAAATAAAAGTTACTTGTTATTGTCTTTAGGTTCCTTTCACAATGTAGACTTGAGATGAAGACTCAAATTACTTTGCAGGCTTCTTTAAGCCATTTTATCTTACCAGGCCGCAGGTCCCCACTTTGGCGATGCCATGTTTAGATCATGTGATAACAGTCAGAAAAACTCGCTGCAGATGAAAAAGATTTGCTTGCTAATTGTTGAAGCTGTAGGCCATGCTAGTCAGTCTCACACAGGTTATTCAACGCAGTACCAGACAGCTGAGCTGTATGTTGTTAAATATTGGATGAAAAAAATTATCACGGAGTTGAAGAAGTTGGTGACAAGTAATGTTAGGTTGTGTAAAAAGTGCAAAATAAACTAAGGAAGAAATCTAAGGGTCTGTTTACACCTTACATTAACATGCGCTTTTGATGATCAGATCACGTTTGGATAAACTTCCCTTTAAAGGCTCTTCATATCACATGACCCTCATGTGTTTCATATCTAAACGCTCCGTTATCTTCATCACTACTTTCCAAAACCGCTGCAGCAGCTTCAGCAGCTGTAAACTCTCTGCACGCCGTTTCACATGAGTCTCCGATGTGGACTGAATGAAGAATGAAGGGTTTCCGGCGTGATGGTCAGTCCTTAGTGATTTCCTGAGTGTCCATCGGTCAGTTTCGCACAGAATGTAGATGGACACACCAATCCACCAGTTCCACACGGTGAGAGGCAGATGACGTGTATCTCAGCCCCTCTTCATAGGCTTATAACTCCGGATGTGAGTCTCGTATGATCTCGAGATAAGATGGAATGGAAAGGGCGACTCTACAGATTCAGGAAGTGTTTGAACTGGATTTCTGAGCTGGATCATCACAAAGATACAGACACAGAGAATTTGATAAGAAGATCTTAAGGATAAATATAAACACTTCCAGCATAATTACTGTATTCTGTATTCTCTCTAATGCTATTTGTGAAAGTATAAATCCTGTCTGTGCTGCTGTTTCAGGTTATTTTAGGTGGGGGGAGGCAGTATATGCTCCCTCAAGGCACCCCTGACCCTGAGTACCCTTCAGAGACTGGAGAGCGACAGGACAAGACCAACCTCATCGACGTGTGGCTTGAAAACAGAAGCGTGAGCTCGGCATTTAATTCTTTTTCTACATTCATCTCCATCGGTGTATGTGAGGAACCCACAAATGCCTTGATGTTCTCTGTTCTAGCCTTTAGTCTCATCTGTAGCTTATCCATACTGATCTAAATATTTGTATACATTTTTATCAGTTGTATGACTGAATTATCTGACCAGAGCCTTTGACTTTTTGACCCCAGTCTGATTGTGAATCTTTATCTTTCCTTTAAAAGGCCAGTAACACCTGTAAACCTTTCTGCTTTCCTAGAATGCCAAATATGTGTGGAACAAAGCTCAGCTGGACGCTGTGGATGAAGCAGACACAGACTATTTAATGGGTAATACTGTTTTTTCCAATCACAGTGAGCCTTCAGCCTTAGAACCGTTGCATCTCAACATCAGACGTTCACCATTAGAACAGATTTAAGCAATAAGCCATAAAAGGCTGTGTTACTGTGATTTTATCACGGTGAAAGGTGTTGTTAGGCACGACACGAAGGCAAGTAAAACCTCATTCCCCATGATAAAATCACTGTAATGCGCGGCCTCAAGTGCCTGGTTGCTTTTATAAAGCGGCGGCCAACATAAAATATGAAAAATAACACAATTTGTCAGTAAATAATTTGTTATTATTAATAATAATCAACAACAACAAGTATTCTGGCAAAAAAATGTAGTTCCTTTAGAGTATGATATTGTTGCCAAGCAACCATGGACCTCTTAATAAGGAGAACATTCAGTTGCCCATCCCTGTATTCATGGTGTTATTATGAACTTTTTTCATACAACAGTGGACATACGATAACACAGCACTGTTTAATGTAAAAACCTTAGTTTTATAAGCACTTTTTGGTCACCAAATCATTACCATGAGTCTTATTTAGCACCAATCCAGCGGCGCCGCTCTTCTCACGCTGGGGCTGAATCTCAGTCAGCTCCCTGCTCCCTACATAGTGCACTATGTAGGAGTTTAAATACTGGATCCTGCAACCCAACAGTGAATAATACAGCTATAATCGGTCATTTGGGATTCAGACACATCCACACTCGACAAGTAGTCACTGTTTGGCTGTAGAAGCTGGAATTTCTAAACTTCCCTAGCGCACTATTTAGGGAGTATGGAGCCGTTTGGGATTCAGCCTGGGTTTGACGCGACTTCTGACTGGAACACGGACATTTGAAGCGTGTGAGACATTCAGGTGACATTCTTTAGACTTTTATACTGCTGTTTTACAGTGAATCATAATGTGAGTCCTTTAATTCAAGCCTGTGATATTAATGATGGAGTTGTTCAGCATGTTTGCTATCTTTTAGCCTGTTAGCGAGCTGACCAGCCTAGTTCTAGATAAGAAAATAAGTTGTCAGCCCCTCAGTTTAAACAAAAATCGAGTTCTTACTTCATCAGTACACTCGGTGCTCCATATTAGCAGCATTAGAGTCAAAGATTAATCCATTAACAGCAGAAGGGTTTTTCATGCCGTGGCGCAGTGATACAGAGTTCAGTCACTGTGAGGAGGTCAGAGCTGTGGTATATTGTGGATTTTACAGAGGCTTTGAACGCGGCTCAGCCAATCAGATTTTAGGATCAGAACTGGCCGAACTGTACAACCTGGAAACTTCTCATTCATTCATTCATTCATTCATTCATCCTTCCAGGTCTGTTTGAGCCGTTGGATACGCGGTATGAGCTGGACCGGAACTCGGACACTGACCCCTCCCTGACGGAGATGGTGGAGAAGGCCATTAAGATCCTCAGGAAAAACCCAAACGGGTTCTACCTGTTTGTAGAAGATAAGTGTAAAACACTGTGCTCTACGCTATTTACTCTTCTCTTCAAAAGTTCATAATTACTTTATTAATATTAATATTTTAAAATTCTTTATATGCAATAATAAACATATACATGCTAGATATGTATAGTCATATTATACTAAACACCAAAGGGCATTTTTAGATATTTTATTCAATATTTAATTTGAATGAAAAATGTACAGTGATCATAAACGTACTGTAATTTTTCTATTTATATTTTCCAGGTTATCTGTCACGATTGTTAAGTCTGGAAGTTAATATTATTATAACATTATGCTTTATATGAATTTTATTATAAATCCATATTAAATTAGTAAAGATCCTCAGCAAAAGCCCCAAAGAGTTCTACCTGTTTGAAGATGATAAGTGTAAACACTGTGTTCACTGATATTTGCTGTACTGCTCAAGCGTTTAGAATTACTTTATTAATATTAATACCTTTATTGCAATTATATATAACAATAATAATAATAAACTATACAATGTCGGTATGTACACAAGAAGTTATGACGTTATGAATAATAAAAAAACTGCATTTAACTATTTACAAAAATTTATTTTAGTTCATCACCTCAATACTTGATCATTCTTGAGGCATTCTAGATATTAATTTTCTCAGAAATTCATTCTGGATATACAGTTTATTAAAATTTCATTTTAGATATTAATTTTCTTAGAATGTCATTGTAGCTATCAATTTTACTATAACCTCCTCCTTGATATAAAATGTTTCAGAATTTCATTCGGGATATTAATTTAATTAAAATGTTATGTTTGATATTGATTTTATTCGAACTACATTCTTGATATCAATTTTGTTAGAACATTATTTTTTAACATTCATTTTATTGGAACTTGTTATAATATGTACATGTACATTAATTGTGTTAGCTCTTGATGTTTTACAGCTTTCTTGGTCATTTTAAAATAATCTATAATGATTCCAAGTGTAATATCTTATGTTTATATATTACAGTGCATATAATAATGTAATAATATTCTTAACTGGTGCCTCTGTGTGTGTTTGCCTCCCTGTAAGTGGTAGAATTGATCACGGTCACCACGCCAGTGAAGCCAAACGGGCTCTGTACGAGGCTGTGGAGTTCGACAGGGCCATCACAAGGGCAGGTGAACTGACCAGTGAACTGGACACCATGTCTGTGGTCACTGCTGACCACTCTCACGTCTTTTCCTTTGGGTCCAGCTCGCCGAGGGGCAACCCAGTCTTAGGTGGGCTACACATTCATTTATTAAAATTTAATAAAGGAGAGGTTCAGTCATAAATGCGAGAGATGCTAAAGAGAAATAGCGATGAACAGCTGTTAGCATTAGCGAATCACATCATGCATTATTAACCAATGTTAGCATGTTTGGCTAAGTTGCTATTGCTGCTGAAATGGAAGGTCCCACATCATCTGAGCTGGTTTATTGTTTTATTTATTTGTCCTGCAGGACTGTCCACTAAAATCGGCACCGATCTCAAACCGTACACCACGGCTCTCTATGGGAACGGACCGGGATTCGCCATCGTCAACGGAACGCGGCCGGACATTAACTTCACCATCACAAGTACGTTCTGACCTACAGACTGGAGAGCAGCTGAGTGTTGAAAGAGAAAATCTAACAATGTGATTCAAGTGCGGCATGAAAGGGTCCGTTGAGTGTTCATGGTTCTATATAGAACCACTGTCTTTACTAAAGAACCATCTTTTTTAAGAACGTACTATAAATAAAGGCTTCTTTGCATGGTGAAAGGGTTCTTCACATTGATTGAGAATGTGTTGTATAGGTTTCTATACAGAACCTCTTTGAAAAAAGTTCTATATAGCACAAAAAAATGGTTCTTCCATTGCATACACACCTATAAAGATGGTTCTTCAAGGGTTCTTTAGTAAAGAAAATGGTTCTATATAGAACCATGAACACTCTAAGAACCCTCTGCATGATTAAAGGGTTCTACGCATCATGAAAGGGTTCTTTAGATTGATGGAGAATGTAATGTACATGGTTCTATACAGAACCTTTCTGAAAAGGGTTCTATACAGCACCAAAAAGAGCTCTTCTATTGCAACAAGCTTGACAGGCTCGCTCTGCAATGAATGACATGAGGGTTCATCTGCCACCTTGTGGTGATCAGTGTTAATGCAGAAAAGAATGGAAAGTTGTTTTAAAGGCGAGGAAACCTTTTCATCTTCTGTCACTCTCAGACTGTAAGGAGCGCTTTTTGATACGATGCCACTTGATGTAATAAACGCATTTACTCCTGCAGCTTTTAGACAAGTGTCAGTGAATCAAATCAAGGTTTAAATCATGAGAATGAACGCAATAAAATGATTCATTTCATTTCACACTCAGGTAAAAGAAGAAAAAGAAAGAAAGAACTCTAATTTTCAATGCAGCTGCACTTGACTAAGCGTCAGACATTACAACAAATAAAAACGCAATTCTAAACGTAAAACTGCAGCCCAGATCTGAAGACAGATACGAAGACGGTTCTTTAGTAAACGACTCAGCATCATTTGACTCAGTATGTGATATTAAGAACAGAGTATATTAGAAAAACAGAGGAAGCTGTGGTTTTCTGCTGATTTTCCTTTTCCTGTCTCATCTCTCTCCTCTTCTTTTTTACTTTCACTCACTGTCTCCTCTGTTTTTCCCCTTCTCTTTTTCTGTCTCTGTCCCCCTTTCTCTCTTTTCTATCCTTTGTTCTCTCTACTCTAATCTTGCTTCCTTCATCTCTCTGTATCTCCTCCTTGTCTCTCATCTCTGCTTTCTTTTCTCTACCTTATTTCTCTCCTCTTTTGCTTTCTTTCACCATCGCCTCTATTTTTTCTCTCACTCTCCTCTCGCCCCCTCTTCCTCTCTCTCCCCCCTTCTTTCTCATTGTTTCTATCTCCTACCTGTCATTTCTTTTCCCTCTTGCTCTGTCTCCCCTATTTTTTTCTCACTCTCGCTTTCTTTCTTTCCCTCTTTCTCCCTCATGTCTTTCTTTCGCCCCCACTTTCTCTCCTTCTTTTCCTCCCCCTCTACTCTCTTCCTCCTTTGTATCCTCCCTCTCCTTTCTCTTTTCCATCTCTCATCTTTCCTCCTTCTTTCCTATTGTCTCTAATACATTGTTTGGCTCTCTCTTCTCTTTTGCTCTCCATCTCCTCTATTTTTTCTTTCTCACTCTCTGTTCTCCCACTTGCTTCCTTTCTCTCTCGCTCCTCTCTCTCTTATTCACTCTACTCTCTTCCTCCTTCCATCTCTGTCACCCATCTTTCTTTCTCACTCTCTCTCTCTATCTCAGGTGCGACTAATTATAAGCAGCAGTCTGCTGTTCCTCTCTCCTCTGAGACCCACGGTTCTGAGGACGTGGCTATTTTCGCGAAGGGTCCGATGTCCCACCTGTTCCACGGAGTGCAGGAGCAGAGTTACATCGCCCACGCCATGGCGTACGCCGGCTGCATCGACCCATACACCGACTGCAGCCTGGAGCCGACCCCAGAGCCGAACCACGCCTCGTCCATCCAGTTCAGCGCAGGGACGCTGCTGCTGCTCACTCTGCTGACCACTATTAACCTCATCTAACTCCAACAGAACCAGAAACAACCCCACATTATCACTATTTATCACTTATTCCCACTCAGATTACGCCCATGTGGATAACTTCTGATATGATGTTATATAGAGGGCCATTGTGCTCCATTATGTCCAGATCCTGTCTTATTAACCCATTAATATCATATCTGATAATGAAGCCCATATGGTCTCCCAGCTTCAACAATTTAAAATATTGTTTTTATTTTCACTGAATTCCTCTGTGAGGACTAAATAAGTTCATTAGCACTCAGAACACCTGATTTTCAACATTAAAATGGCTTTAGGACGCCAGACAGCGTCAGCGGAAACCGCACTGCTGGTTATTTCTATGATGTTAATAAACATTATACAAATAAAAGGCCAAACATGCACATTGATCATTTCAATCTGATTAAGTTATGCATTTGTAAGCTGTATATTTTGGATACAGTTGGCTTTTTTTGTATGTAGCCATCACAGGACGCCAAACAGCAACATTAGAATAAAGCTTGACCAATAAATTAATATACTGTTGTTGTTTTTATACAGTTGGCTTACAGTAAACTCTTTCCTTTATTCCTCTCTGTTATTACACATTTCATACATGATGAAAACTGCATACTAATCACATTATTATTATTATTATTATAATTATTATTATTATTATAATTATTATTATTATTATTATTATGGAGATCTAGTTTGGTATAATATTTAAAAGTATGTAATTTCAGATGCAGATAAGCAGAAGATCAGTGTGTATCACCACTGCAAACGAGATTTCTAACGCTGCAGACTAGAGGTGCACGATATGGCAAAACTGTAAACTTCTGATGATTCAAGACGTTTCCATGATATATGTCACGATATTTATTTTTTCCAGAGTCTGATATCTTGGAATAGACAAAGTAGCACCACATTTAAAAATACTATCAAAAACTATGAATACAATGATTTAATATTTCACACACTGCGCTGCACTAAACCCAGTTAAACAGGAATAATTATGCATACTTTTTAATCAAACAGGCAGTTGGGAAGTATTTACATATTTCAGAAAAGTATAATGTGGCATCATTTATCACGATAATGATAAATATGGCCATACTGCCCAGCCCTACAGCAGTGTAGGAATTTCAAAACTCATCTTGTAATGTCCTATTATGGCCACAAGAGGGCAGTAAATGCTTTAGACTGAGTTTCAGGGTAGCGTTATAGAGATGGACAGAGTGGGCTGAGGAGTAGGATAAATGTTAGCAAAGCTTTAGACTGTAATTGACCATTTCAGACCACTTTAAAAAATGAATACAGTTTACAGTTCGAAGAAGAAGCAAAACATTTACTTTTAGGTCCAACATAATTTAATGTCTAGACGACTGTTTAGAAGTTACTATCTTCTAATCTGCCTGGGTTTTAAGTGGGAATTCCACTTCGCCATGACTATATTTGTGTTGTAGACATTTTATTTACTATCCAGAACCACCAGTGAACCTACACGAGTCTTCTGAGTTTATATGGAATGTTGATGATGGAAAATAGTGGAAAATCTGAAATAATAAGTTTTCTTTGGGGACTATTTTGCCTCACAGCGCCCTGCATGTATCCCTCCACCATGAATGGAATTGAAAAAAAAAATGTGTTTTAGGCTGCCTTGTGATGGACTGGTGACCTGTTCTGGGTGTTTACTTCCTTCTGCTTAATGACCATAGGCTCCAGCACCCCAACCAGAAGGTTATAACAGAAGCCAGCTGTCAGAGGTTGAAGCATCTATAAACCTTGCTTCTATTAATTTATATCAGTATTTCGGCCTGTACAGTAAATAATCTCATCAAAAGAATCAGAGAAACTGGAGAAATCTGTGCATAAAGGGCAAAGCTGAAAGCCCATGACCTTTGACCCCTCTGATGGCACTGCATTAAAAACTGGCATGTTTCAGTGATGGATATCGGTGCATGGGTTCAGGAATATGTTGACATACCTTCATCAATAAACACTGTCCATCAACTACATCCACAAATGCAAGTTAAACCTGTACTCTGCACAGTGGAAGTCAAACACCAACAATGTCCAGAAACGCTCTGGACTCGAGCTCATCTGAAATGGACTAATGCTCAGCAAACGTGTATTGTGGTCTGATGAGTCCACCTTTCAGATGGCAAGTTAAACCTGTACTCTACACAGGAAATCATAGATGTCTGTTTCTCCAGGCCAAAGAAAAAAAAGGACCATCCAGATTGTTACCAGTGTAAAGTTCAAAATCCAGCGTCTGTCATGGTGTGTGTGGGGGATTTTGGGTACCATGCAGATTCTGTGAAAGCACGTTTAACACAAATATATCTATACGTTTTGCAAGACATACTGCCTATAGGATGACAGGTTCAACTAACACGACAGTCCCACATTCTGCATGTGTCATCAGAGAGTGTAGGTGCTAGACTGGCCTGTCTGTCTCCTAGTGGAAACGTCTCCTGACGAAGTGCAAAATATGAAAATGAAGGCCCGAATAGTTGCATAATGGAAAACTGGCAAAAATTCTGCTTTCAAAACTGGATATATTGGTGTCTTCAGTCCCCAAATGATTAAGTTCTGTGAAAAGGAATGATGGTGATGTAACAGAGCGGTAAACAAACTCCTGCCCAAACATTTTGGGTATTCGGAGGCTTGTGTTAATTACATAAAATGCCATTTAATCACTTTCAAAGCAACCCTGCTGTTAAAAACCAGAACCATGAAGATGGACAGGCTTCCTTTCACTCGTCCTGCTTAAAGTCAGCAGTCTGTACATTAACTCTGGACACAGCGAAGCGATATCTGCTCATTTGTAGACGCCAAATTTGCTGAAACCGTGAAATTTACTGAGGAACGATGCTGAACAGTGTAGCTTGGTGTTCTGCCACAGATTTGCAGTGGGATTAAGGTCAGTGAAAGACATCTGCATTTTTCCTCCAGTGTGTTTTGGATCATCGCTGCTGCTGAAAGACAAACTCCAAACTCCTCCGTGTGTGTTTTCTGGCAGAGGGGTTCAGGTTTTTACCTCCTCCTGCTGAACAGCCTCCCTGCTAGCACTGTAAACTCGCACAGTCACATAACAGTCTGAAGGTGGTCACTGAACGACACTGACTTTGGTAACGATTATAATGGTGCTCAATGCACACTGAGCGATGAATGACAGGAATGAAACTTCAGTCAGCTGGAAATGGTACAAACTGAAATAGTTTGTGTCCAAAAGTGAAAAAAGGCCAAACGTTTTGGCAGAAAAAGGCAAAAGGCTACAGAGGTCTACAGTGAAATTAAAATTCTAAAAATAGTGATTGAAGAAAACAGCGTTCTTACTCTCCTATGCTGGTCAGCATAACAGTGTGAGCAGCAGAATCTCTCAAATATGGTCCGCTGCAGCTGACTGATATGTAAATGAGCTCTGTTCTGATTGGCTATGCCTCATTCCAAAATCAGCCCAGGCTGAAACACTCCTTATGACCACCTCCTTGTTTCAGCTCCACTTACTATATAGGTGCACTTTGTAGTTCTACAGTTACAGACTGTAGTCCATCTGTTTCTCTGATACTTTGTTAGCCCCCTTTTACCCTGTTCTTCAGTGCTCAGGACCCCCATAGACCCTCACAGAGCAGGTATTATTTGGGTGGTGGGTCATTCTCAGCACTGCAGTAACACTGACGTGGTGGTGGTGTGTTAGTGTGTGTTGTGCTGGTCTGAGTGGATCAGACACAGCAGTGCTGCTGGAGTTTTTAAATACTGTGTCCACTCACTGTCCACTCTATTAGACACTCCTACCTTGTCAATCCACCTTGTAGATGTAAAGTCAGAGACGATAGCTCATCTGCTGCTGCACAGTCTGTGTTGGTCATCCTCTAGTCCTCCATCAGTGGTCACAGGACGCTGCCCACAGGACGCTGTTGGCTGGATATTTTTGGTTGGTGGACTATTCTCAGTCCAGCAGTGACACTGAGGTGTTTAAAAACTCCAGCAGCACTGCTGTGTCTGATCCACTCAGACCAGCACAACACACACTAACACACCACCACCACGTCAGTGTTACTGCAGTGCTGAGAATGATCCACCACCCAAATAGTACCTGCTCTGTGAGGGTCCATGGGGTCCTGACCACTGAAGAACAGGGTGAAAGGGGGCTAACAAAGTATCAGAGAAACAGATGGACTACAGTCTGTAACTGTAGAACTACAAAGTGCACCTATATAGTAAGTGGAGCTGATAAAATGGACAATGAGCGTGGAAACAAGGAGGTGGTCAGAATGTTATGCCTGACTGGTGTATATTGCATACATCATATTTAACATCACAAAACAACTGAACCCTTGTGACAAAAATAGTGTGTGAACATTTTTTGTAAAAGTTATGTAAGTATGGAATGGCCATTTTTGATGCCCTGTATTTAAAGCGGTCACTAAAATGTAAATAAAGGATTGTTTTTAATGTAAAAGCTTAAACAAAAAACAGAAAATAAAATAATTGAAAGAGGTAGAATGGTTGACCCTCTGATGTCTGCGTTCAGTTTCTCGATTTGTTCATCTCCTCTTAAACTCCCCTTTAAAGGCTCTTCATATCACATGATCCTCATATGTTTCATATCTAAACGCTCCGTTATCTTCATCACTACTTTCCAAAACCGCTGCAGCAGCTTCAGCAGCTGTAAACTCTCTGCACGCCGTTTCACATGAGTCTCCGATGTGGACTGAATGAAGAATGAAGGGTTTCCGCCGTGACGGTCAGTCCTGACTGATTTCCTGAGTGTCCATTGGTCAGTTTCACACAGAATGTAGACGGACACACCAATCCACCAGTTCCACACGGTGAGAGGCAGATGACGTGTATCTCAGCCCCTCTTCACAGGCTCATAACTCCGGATGTGAGTCTCGTATGATCTGGTGATAAGATGGAATGGAAAGGGCGACTCTACAGATTCAGGAAGTGTTTGAACTGGATTTCTGAGCTGGATCATCACAAAGATATAGAAACACATATAGAAACAGAGAATCTGATGTATGGGCGAGTTCATGAACCCCAGAGGGTTAATATAAAGTTTTTCTTTGGAGGGGCTCAGTTCAGTAGAGCTGTTTTTACATTTACATACGACACAATAAGTGAGGAAATTTAATTAAAAACAGATTCAAATCGTGGTTTCAATATAAAAGTGATGAATCGTTCAGCCCCTCGTTCACAGGTCTCTATGTTCAGGTAGGCTGGTCTGTATGTCTGCCCGACTGTCACTGAGTGGACAGACCTTTCCATTAGGACTCTGATCTGGGTTACAACTACAGCTCTGTAGACTGTTCAGGTTCCAGCAGAGTTCCTGTATGTCAGCACTGAAAAATGAGAGGCAAAGGCAAATTAAATCACATTACAGTGCAGATGGTCTGCTTTAATGCCAGAGTATTTTGACTCATGTGAAGCATTTGGAGCTCCACACATGCACGCATTTATGGACAACGGTAAAATTCTGTACCTTAGAAAGAAGAACGGCAAAGGAAGTTCAAGAAATATCAGAAATCCAAGTAAGCGCACTGCTTTATGTGCACAAAACAAAACAAAACAAACACAAAAACACATTCTTAGAATTTGGCTTTTGCGAATATCATGAAAGTAGAGATACCGTATCAGCTTAAACAGAGTCGAAGGGGGGGGTTCAGCCAAAAACGCTAATGTTGCCAAAGGATTTCATGCTTCTAGTTTGCATTTACCGCTAGCAGCATTAGCGCATACGGCTGAGCTTTAAATGGGTCGGTTAGTGTTGAAGGCTTTTGCGCTCTTTAACAGCGAATCTCAGTCTGCTCTGGTTTGCTGTGGTGATGCATCACGAAAAGGCTGAGTGCATCTCCACGTTCTAGAATCAACACAAGTTGAGCTCATTAAGAACCGTTTTCTCCATTTTAATCATTGTGTGTGCAATTAGTACACAGGCACGTACACATCCACTGAAAGTAAACGCTAACAGCTTTCGTCCTGACGCTCTGTGCTGTTCCTGTACGTAAAGTCCGCTGGTTTCCTTCAGGAAGGAAACTTTGGTTCAGCAGAGCGAGACAGTGGTGCTAATTACAGTCTCGGGTCTTTGAATCTGTTATGGGTTTTTTCGGGATTTGATGACTTTGTTAAATGAATGATTAGAGTCGGTTTTCTGGATTAAGTTTAGTCCTGGACCATAAATGATTCTTAACTGTTACTTAACATTAAAGCCACACTGATTCTAACACTGTGTTATCAACATTTCACTGGAAGAAAACCTTGTATCTCCAAAATGGTGCCTTTACAGGAGAAGGAAAAAACATATTTACTTTTAATGGAAGTCAATGGAACCAGACTTTTTTACAAGAAATTCTGGACCATTTCTTTGGGTCCATTCTTAATGAAATTTACACACAATGTAAAGGAGAACAGGCATTTTCAAATTACGTCAAAAACTACAAAAATGGAGATACGAGGTTTTCTTCCCACAACAACGATTTATTAATGAAAAGGCTTTTACATGTGCAAATAGAGAGATGGCACGATATCATTTTTTCATTTCTGATACCAATATTGGTGCTAAAAAACATAAAAGGCCCAAATCATTCATTTTCAGCGTGTTATTTTTTCCTCTACCTTACACTCGTGTGGTTTTATGTACCAACTCATTTCTACATGACCATTTTACAACCTCTATTCATTTGAATTAAACAGGCTGTTTTGGTTACTGTGCCTTGAAGACTGATATATGCAGATGAGCTCAGTAACCTCTCATTCGAAACAGCAGAGCGAACTGAAACACTCCTTATAAGTTCAGTGTGAATGGGCGTGGCTAAATTGCAGTAGGCTGATATGCAAATATGTTGGTTTCTGTGACGTCACAAAAACAGTGAATTCGAAACAGGCTATAAATGGACTGTAAGGACTGAGGAGTGAACGGTACGCGTTTAAAGACGACATCAAACTCAAAAAAAGTGAGGAGAATTTGGTTTTCTATGAAATGAAACATACTTTATGCAAGGACGTGAACACAGCCGCTTCGAGCTACGCAGATGGGGTTTTGCGCGTAGTTGCATTCAAAAATGTGCCACAACGCATTTCATAACAACGCAAACACGAGCTGCATTCTGAGCGTTAGAGCAAGGGGCGCTATAGCGCAGCCAAGCCTGTCCATGCGGTCTCATACGGCAAGCGTGTTTTCTAAACTGCCACAGCAGACGAGCAGCTGAGTCTCACGCAAAGATGATTTACATAATCATAAAAATATGATCCATTATTGCCTTTCCATTCCAGCAGAAGAGGTAAAGCAGCTCACTCTCCACTACTGCACACATTTAGCTGTTGAGGCTGTTGGAACAACAGTAGACCCTCTCTGATTTGTCCTCTAGCGCCCCCTTCAGTACTGAGTATTTTACCTGCCATAGTAACATAAGAATGCAGGCTGAGTTTGTACAGAAGGGCTGAGCTCATTTGAATTCGCGTACGTGCATGAAATATGATCCGGGCCTGAGTGTCCGCTAATGCTCATACCAATCCTAGATTTTTTTCTTTAAAAGCTTTTAAGCCTTAAATAAATATTTTTAATTGAAGCACTTCCACTTAAGATGAGCTCAAACTACTCAAACTCTGTATAAATGCACCACCAGCATGAGTTTTAAAAAAGGTGCAAATTGTGTGTTTTCATTCAGTTAAAAAGGCTGGATTAGTTACAGGATTATTTTCTGATATTAGGAATAGGGAGTTCTTTCTTTGCCTTAGAGTTAAAAATACAGAGTTTTCTTTTTCTGATAATAATAATAATAATAATAATAATAATTAATATTAGAAGACCAGACTATCCACTTTTTCTAGCTTGAGGTTTGACCTCTGAATGTAGTGTGCCAGAAAGCCAGTAAGTTGTGATGGTGAGGTCACAACACATGGACGTTTAGTTGCCTCTGACTGGTCTAACCATATAATAATTAAAATAACCAAGATAATGTTTGAAAATTGCTCTCTCTTAAATTGCATTTTTTATATAAACAACCTGTCAGCCCTAAATAATAATAATAATAATAATAATAATAATAATCATCATCAACAACAACAGCAACAAAAATTATTTGGACCTTTGTGCGACACTTTAAAATGTATAAATCTGATTGTGTCATTTTATTTTTGGTATTCTTTGCGACTGCTGATTTTCAGATGGTTACTTCTTTGCAGATTTCTGCAGGTTTGCATCCAAAAATGTCTTGGTACACGATCCATCAGTGACCATGAGGTCAGCGACACCACTGCAAGAAAAACATCTCCACATCTGAGCTTTACAGAACCTTTAGTGCAGTCTGGCTTCATTTTATGAAGTAACCTGAAGAACTTGCTCAACGTTTACCAACAGTGTCCAAACACTTTTTGAGGCCACTGTAGAATGTAAACGAAGCAATTACAGCTTATTAAGTTTGCTTGAAATGTAGGAACATGTATCCTTCACCTCTGTAGTAAACCGAGTGATGCAGAGCGTACCGTTAACAATAAAGGAGTCCAGGACTAAACTATATGCCCGAAAAGCCGACCCACAGTAAACAACACATAACCAAATACTGGTCCTTATGTGTGGTGGAGGACTAGTCTGTACAACACCAACACTCAAAACTAATCCAAACATGCAGTCGTGTGTGATGCAGACATCGAGAATGTGTTTCTACAGAGAAATCAATCTTTAGGGTTAAGAAAAAAAAAGATAAAAAAAAAACCACGCTGTGCTTCAGCAAGTACAAAATCTAAACAGCCAAAGTAAAGGATCTGGCGTTTCCAGACAAAACGCAGGGTGACCAGAAAAACGGCTGTCCAAGACGATTTCCATCAAAGTCTGCTGTATTGTGTTTCCCCACTTTGTGCAGAAAATCCAAACTGTGCAACCATGCAAAACGATCCAAGCTGTAGTAACACGTGAAATGAAAAACCCGCTGCTCTCCTCATGGTACCTCCAACTAGTGATGAATAAAGTATACAGCCTCTCTTAAGGAACTCCTAAAACAAGCTTTCATTTAAAATGAGTGAAATGCATGGCGACTTTGTTTACCCCCTTTTTGTCCCCATCATATTTACTATGCAGCTCCTGTAGACTGGCTGATTCTGGCTACTCTCGGTCAGCATGTGCTATTTAAAAGCACATTTCAGTGCTGCTTCCAGGTGACCGAGCTAATATTGTTCAAAAAGGAGAAAAAAAACAGAACCGTTTTCTATTAAAGTTACACTCGTGGAAACAGGCCTAAGTGCTCTAGTGATTAAAAGGGGAGTGAATCGTCATTTCTTCGTCATTTCAACCTGCAGGAGCTTCTTTTCTTGTTCAAAACTCCACTTTGCAGGCAGGGAATGTCTCTTCTTGCATGGCCACTGTGCTGTTGCTGCCCAACACTGTTATGGCCAGTTCCTTTTGTCTCTCGTGTGTGTCCTGGTACCAGTCATGCATCGTCAGCGAATCGAAAGTGGGGATCAGGGTGACCTGGAGTAGAGGTTATAAAAAAGAAATGTGTCATCTAATCACGAAAATACGCAAATTAAACTAAAATTAGTTTTAGTATGCATTTATCTGTGGCTCTGCACACCAATGTAGTGTTATATTAGTTTTTAGTTAATGTGTAATTAGTGGTGACCTGTGAGTGCTGGACCTAGCAAGGGGGTCAGCAACCCAACTGTTAAGAAGAGACATTTTGTCCTTTCAACAAAAATCCTACCACAACATTTTATGTCCCATATGTCTCAGTATGTGCTGACGTCCTAGTATAGGCTAATAATATAAACGAAAATGCAGACTTACTTTGCTCTGCTTTAAGCTTTAGCTCAGCTGTAGCCACTTTTCTTGCATCTCTGGCAGGAAACTTTTCCACAAAAGTAGAACAGTTTCTCGTAAAATGTCTCTCAACGTTTTTACAAGGCTGAAGTCGCTTTTCATTCACCAGATTCTTGTTCTAATACTCCTGTTCCACCTTAAATTGTGCCGCAGTTACATTCTGGCACCTCAGATACCATTTAAGGTGGAACGGGAAAATTCAAACGAGAAACTGACTTAAGCTTTGTGACTTTTTAGTGTTTGGCAGTTTCTCATTGCAGATTAAACGTATCAGGAAACCAGCTGGAGTGATTATAAATACAAATAAGTCAGTTTGTCTCCAAACTATCCACATTATCGTATATCTGAGCTCGTATGTATCAGTTTTACAGCGACACTTTCAGTAAAGAGTCCTGACATAGAGCTGCCGCAGCTGTTTTACATTCCTAACAACTAACCAGAACCTGCTTAGACTAAGACTCATATTCACAGTGACATATCTAGAACCTCCAGCAGGACTTCCTAATTATGTTGGTAGTTAATCTAATACGTAAGGCCTTCAGTCCAGCTCCTGAAGTCCTAACCAATGGGAGAGCTTGCTTAGCTGTATCTGTCTAGATACCATAGAGAAACCAATCCTGATTGGATTGTTTTTCGCTTGTGCAGTCCAACTTAAACATAACAACAAAATAAGAATATTAACAAAACACCTGCAAATACAACAAGCGTGATGATTATTAATTAAAAATATATATACATACACACACACACACACACACACACACACACACACGTATGTATGAGTTTCCAGAAGTCTTTCTTGGAAGGACCTGAAGGCCCTGAGGGTGCCCCACTGATTGTACCATACATTAGCATGCACATGCAAAGACAAATTAATGCTAAAAGTGATTTTATTTTCTGCAATTGAGGGCACAACTAACCTGCACATCTGGCCAAGCCACCTTGCCTTCTAGCAGAGAGTCCAGGATGGGCCTCATGATCGACTCCTTGTAAGGTTCCTCTCCACTTATTATATAACATGAAGAGCGCACACGGCGGAAAAACTCCACATCAATGGTGGATGCTGCAAAGCCTGAGGGCAGATACGCCAGGTCCAAATAAACCGTTGTGGCAATTGTCTTGTTCCCCACTGGACCTGCACAGAAAAGACAGAACAATTAGGTTCTGGACACTCTTAACACAGAGTGAGAAGAAGCCTTCTCCCATAGAATACACTGGAGTCAGAGTACAGCACTGCAGCACCAATGGACCATTCTGGAAAAACGTATATGAATAAACTGTACGTCAGTAAACATGCAGTAAACAAGCTTCCCTGTAGTGCAGATCAGTTCTTTTGCTTACTTAAATAAAACATATTTAGCATTAAAGTTAAGTATTTAAGTTAAATGCTTAACAGATAAAAGCTTTAAATTTAAAGCAGGAAATTTAATTTCAAATTTTGCAACAATCACAAACTAAAGCGCTGTAACAAAACTTGTGGTCTAAACCTCAATTCACAATTGTGGATTTTTGGTTTTGATTTTGCACTTAAAAATGAATTTTTATTTTGGGATTTTGCTGTGTTGTCACATTTTGCCACAAGGAAAAAGAAAAAAAAAAAAACAGGGGGGAACACCAAGTGAAAAAAGATATCCTTTTGCTTCTCGTACAAATGGTAACACTTGCAATTTCAAAAAGTGACTTTCAACGCCTTATTCAACCTTATTCAACACCTTAAATCAAGTCAAGTCAAATGGAGACAGTGGCAAGGAAAAACTCCCTAAAAGCAAGAGGAAGAAACCTTGGGAGGAACCAAGACTCAGAAGGGGAACACATCCTCCTCTGGTCGACACCAGATAGTAAACAGCGTTAGAATAAAATATTAGAATACAAAACAGGGAAAAAACAGGTGGAGCAATGGTTAATTAGACAGTGTGAGTTTATGCAGCAGCAGCAGTAGAAGCTGAAGCTCCACAAGTTCTTTTACAAACAGCTTGGATCAGTTTGAGCTACTTTTGGAAATGCACCACATCTTGGTTGTTCATTGGTTAATTAAAGAAGTCAAAAAACAGTGGAAATGCATACCTGATGGTGGCCTGGCACCTCCTGATGGTGGCCTAGTGCTACTAACAGTGCTACGAGAGGCAGGCTTTGTGTCCAGACTGGATGTAGCCCGAATTGTACCACTTGCGGTTGAATGAGTACCTGTCTTTGTCTTGCTATTCTGTGCCAAACTGCTTGCAGATGACACCTTTTGTGTGCCAGACGTTGCTGTTTTTTTGGGTTTTGCAGTCACATTCTTTGGAGATTTGCCTTGGGCATCAGTGTCAGGGTCAGCCATGCAGGCGCCAGGCTGAGGCGGCAGAGGAGGCAAGTCCTTCATTGGCGCCGGTGGAGGATCTGGGGAGGAATGTGTAGAGTGTCTGTGTAATGAGTGGCTAGTAGGGTGATCATGTGGATGATGTGGTGGGAATTCAGAAGAGTCCTCGTCAGAATCCAAATCCTCACTAATGGAGGGACACTCTCCGGTAGCAGGTGGGACATCTGAGTCTGAGGGAGGGAGGGAGTCGCTAACAGAGGTTAGCGTTGTCTCCTGGCCCTGTGGAGAGTTACAGTCACTGTTGTTTCCCTGGGAGGGCAGCTTGACAAGCTCCTGAGAAAGGTCACTTTCGGTCGAGAACTCATGAGGACTCGGGCTGGGTAACCCAGGGGACGAGGCCTTTTGGTTGTCAGAAGATTTGTGATGTTGAAATTCGCAGGGTGAGACCAAGCACAAGTCAACATCGTGGGGTGGAACATCAGTGTAAAGATCTTGGGGTCCAGAGAGATGATTCTCTGACCCATCGTATGTTTGCCTACAATTATGAGATGTTCTCAAAGGTAGTGACATGTCTGTTTTGGAATCCGTTTCTACCAAATGTCCATTGGTGTACATTCTGTCTTCGGCCTTGCAGGAAGGTGGGAGTACTTGCTCAAAAGAAACAGACAATGAATCATCAACTTCAGTGGAATGTGGAGAACCTACTTCAGCAGGTAAAGATGTGACTGTTGAGGAGGCATCAGGCAGCATGTCCTTAAAAGAGCCTAACGATGGGAAACTGGACTGCTTGTCTTGCGAGGAAGTGGAGTTGTTTCCCAAGTGACTTTTTGAGCTACCAGCCTCAGAGTTTCTGTAGGATCCCTCATGACTATCTTCAAAACTGAGACTGGGCACCTTGATCCCCAAGCTACTGTCCTCACCTGAGCCCTGAGGATCATCTTCAGGAGACTGATGGAATGGAGTGTGTCCTGCACTGTTTGGTGGAGAGACCATCTCAAGTGTTTTCTCATCACAGCTTGCACAAGCATCTTCTGGTCCACTTCTCAAAAGCTCCTCTTTGAGACCACCATCCTCCATCCACCTGTGCTCTGTTGGTGTGAGATCAAAATTGACACTTTTCTCACTTTTTGGAGTCTTTGCAAGTGGTGAAAGAGGACCAATAGCAGAGTTGGAGGCAGGAACCGTCTCCATACTTCGAAATTTCTCTGGACTTTCAGATAACTCTGCTTTGGCCCCCGATCCATTCAATTCACGATCATGCTGTGCACCATCAGCTGCTGAACATAAAATATTGCCCTCAGCATCTCGCATTTCACTACGCTCATTTTCAATCTTCAACTTCTCCAAGTCTGCACTAACATCCTCAGGTGTGGACATCTTTGACCGACTTGCATCTCCTTCAGAATTTGGTTTCGGAGCGCCCTCGTTTTTCTCTGGCTTCGACTTCCCTTTTGGTATACCATCCTTTTTAGGGATGGTCGCATCCTTCTTTATAGGTCCATTCTTTCCAGAGGACTTCCTTGCGTCAGCAGATGCCGATAAGCTTCCGGCTGGTTTCTTCACATCCTTAACAGGAGGTTTAGTGGTTGTTTTTTTCTCCTCTGGCTTGACCTCCTTTTTAATCTCCTTCTTTATTTCAGGTTTAATGTCTTTCTTAGGCTTAGGACCCAGGTCTTTCTTCAGGGGGTCCTTCTTTTTCTCAGCGTTTTCATCCTTCCTTGCAACACTCGTTGAAGGCCTCTCCTCTTTCTTCTTAATTTCCTTCTTCTCCTCTTTCACAGGGTCTTTTCTAACCACTTGCTTTTCAGGCTTAGAGGTTCTTTGTTTCATATCATCTTTTGGCTTTGCTTTGTCTTCCCCTTCTTTACCCTCTTTTTGGCTATTTTCAGTAATGGACTTGGGCTTAACCTTAGTGTCTTGCTTCTTTATGTCAACTTTGCTTACCTTTTCTTTGAGGAGTGAGGTGCTCCCTGGTCTCGAGTCTTTGGAAAGAGACTTAAGGCTTTCCTTGCTCTCTGCACGCTTTGGTTGTTTATCAACTTTGGATGACCCAAGGTCCTTTAAACTCACCACTGGGTTTTTGAGGAAGTCTAGATGTTTCAATCTCTCTAACCCCTCAAAAATCTTGGCCTGTGGCGTGCAACCAGGGAACAGAACTCGAATTATTTTCTCCTGAGGGTTAGCAGGATGCCAAACCAACAGGGCACAAATGGAAACCAGGCAAGGTAGAGGGATCTCTGATCCTTTTACATTAGAGGCACTGCTGGGCCATGTTTGCATAATATTCTCTAGCTCTTTACTACCTTTGACGGGATTAAGGATGTACAGCTCGAGACGCCCCACACCCATCTTCTGAAAGAGGATCATTGGTTCAATGCTTGGGCTATTGGGACGACTGAGGGATTCTGGGGAGATAGATAACTTTTCTAAATGCTGTAGTGTTAGTGCAACCAGATCACAACCCCGCAAGACTTTGGGATCGCCTTGTTGTGTCTTAAGTCTTTCCGGCGCATTGAGGAACACAACCCCAATTTCTGGAGAAATCAAGTTCCTCTGCCAGTCCTCACTGCTATGGGAGCCAGCTGACTCCTCTTCCTCCTGCTCCACTGCTTTCCTGCGGAGGAGGCTGTTCACTCCAGGCAGGTTATCCGAACCAATGTGTGTTAGCAATATAGAGTCAACCCTGTCCAAATGTCTCACCAGTTTCCAAAAACAGGACCTGGGATCAGATCCACCGTTGACCAGGACATTGAAACCGTTCACAGCAAAGAAGGCAGAGTCACCCCTTCCACCGGGGAACACATAGCAGCAGGGACGCGACAGCTTTAGGAAACCAACTGTGCTAGGAGGCTCCAGGAGTTCAAAAGGTGACTGAGGTTCCAGGGATTCCGAGAGATATTCCGTAAACTCCTGCAAACCTTCCATCTCTGGTAGCACTGATGGAGGGTTGGTCTTGATTTCGATGAAGTCTTGCAAGTTGTGGTTCTCCAACTGAGAATGCTTCCACATTCCAGACTTGGGGCAACTCAGGGTGAGGCTTGCTTTTTGTGTAGGATCTGCTGAGCTTAACAGCTCACCAATCTGCATTAGGGAAAAGAAATTCAGTGTGGTTACAACGTCTGATTATTTTTAAGTTCAGATCAATCAATATGTATTTGGATATGAAAATAGAAAAAAGTCTGGTAATACTTTGGTGAGGGGAGGCATTATAATTTCAATAATTAGTGAATTATTGGGTGAATTTTTGGCACTTTTGTGTACTGCACATCATTTTTGCACGTTCTTTATTGATATGAAGACATCGATGAGACAATTTGATGAGACTCAATCTTACGGGTTTAGGTACTGACCAGAAGCTGTAAATAAGCCAGGCTCATGTATACCACATTTTCAATTAAAGCCTATATACCAAATATTCAATATTGCATACTACGCAAGTTAATTTATACAGCACCTTTTATACGGTCATTTATAGTGCTTTACAACTGAGGAAATACAAAGATAATTCAAATTCAAATTTGACAGAAAGTAAAGGAGTAACAAAGTAAAGGACAATGGAAATTAAAACATGATTCAAACATGTTACAACACATTTTAGAAGAAATTAATCATTAAAATAAAGTCAAAGTAAGTCAATACCTTCAATCTTCACTTTAGAAAAGAAGGTCAATTTGTCTTTAGAGGTTAATGGTAATTTATTATGGAGGTATTGACAGTAATCAAAAGAAAATCAGCTTACTGTAAACCTCAAGTCCTAGTGCTTACATACCTCTTCATCTGCAAATATCTGGATGAAGTCATTTAGTGAAAAGCATCCAGTTTGCAACACAAGGTCTCCAGAGTCTTCCACACACTGCCCGGCGAGAATCAGTAGCTTGTGACGAGACACGTCAGAAATAAGTCGCCGAACCTGTGAAGGCAAAGACGAACTACTGTATAGTATTTCCATAAAATATTGCTATTATAAGAGTATAAATAAAAAAGAAAACGCTCATCACATTCATCAACTCAAGCATAAGATGTGGCTGCTGTGCAATTTTGAAAGTTGAATTAAATGTTTAACACATTTTCAAGACCTCACAAAGGAAAAACAACACTTAACTCAAATATGGCATGTGGTTCTTTATGCTTTATTTAAATAGCCTGGTTGAAAATCAAACACTGATATGCGCTTTGAGGTACATTATATGCGTAAGTTATGTTGGTAGACCTGTTCTCAATTTCCCTATCTAGCTGCACTAACTGCTCTCTGTTTTCAGAGTGTTTGACTTCGCTATCAGCTCTACGTCCTCTAGCCCTTCATTCATGGTCAGTTTCTGCGGGTTGAGGACCCGAGCAATATGAAAATTTGGTGGCTCATTTTAAGGGGTTAAAAATGATAAAAACTGATATCAGTTGATGCAATATTATATTAATACTTCAGCTTTTAATTTTGCATTCTAATAACTTCAGTTAAACAGTGCTTCAGTGACTGATTCTCAGTGGTCACAGTTCTTAAACAGCAAAAACCTGCAGTGCTAAAAAGATACACCATATGAACAAAAGTATTGGGACACCTACACATCACACCTACAGGAGCTTTTATGAATCCCATTATAAATCCAGAGGCATTAATATGGAGTTGGTCCCCCTTTACAGCTCTAACAGCTTCCACTCTTCTGGGAAGCTTCTACAAGATTTTGGAGAGAGTCTGTGGGAATTTGTGTCCGTTCATCCTGAAGAGCATTAGTGAGGTCAGACACTGATGTTGGACGAGAGGGTCTGGCTCACAATCTCCGTTCTAGTTCGTCCCAAAGGTGTTCAGTGGGGTTGAGGTCAGGGCTCTGTGAAGGCCAGTCAAGTTCTTCCACACCAAACTCACCCAGCCAGGCCTTTATGGAGCTGCTTTGTGCACTGGGGCTCAGTCAGGCTGGAACAGAAAAGGTTCTTCCCCAAAACTGTTCCCACAAAGCTGGAAGTTTACAATTGTCTATAATGTCTTGGTGCTGAAGCATTAAGATTCCCTTCACTGGAACTAAGGGTTCTAGACCAACCCCTGAAAAACAGCCCCATATCATCATCCCTCCTCCACCAAACTGTACAGCTGGCACAGTGCAGTCAGGCAGGTAACGTTCTCCTGGCCTTCGCAAACCCAGACTCGTCCATCAGACTGACAGATAGAGAAGCTGATTGGTCACTCCACAGAATACGTTTCCACTGCTCCAGAGTCCAGTGGTGGCGCTTTACTCCACTCCATCCGACACCTGGCATTGTGAATTTTGATCTTAGGCTTAAGTACAGCTGCTCAGCCATGGACACTCCTTTTGTGAAGCTCCTAATGTGCAGTTATTTTGTTGATGTTGCTTCCGGAGGCAATTCGGAACTCTTTAGTGAGCGATTCAGAGGATAAGCACTGGGCGCTTCAGCACTCAGCGACCCCACTCTGTGAGTTTGAGTGGTCTAGCACTTCGTGGCTGAGCTGTTGTTGCTCCTGGATGCTTCCATTTCACAATAATAGCACTTACAGCTGTCAGGGGCAGATCTAACAGGGCAGTAACTTAACATACTGACTTGTGGAAGAGGCGGCATCCTATGACAGTGCCATGTTTAAAGTCACTGAGCTCATCAGTTCGACCCTCTCCTGCCAGTGTTTGTCTATTGAGACTGGAAGACTATGTGTTAATTTTATCCACTGGTTAGCAATGAGTGTGGCTGAAACACCTGAACTCAATAATTAGGAGGTGTCCTAATACTTCTGTCCACATAGTGTATAAACATTGTTGCCCTGAGGGCAGAACTATGCAAAAAAGTTGGTAATCATCAGCACATTACCAATATTTTTGCTGATACTGATAAATCAGCGATTCAGCTTTCTGTGGGCTGAAAATTATTTGTTTGGTGGATTGTTAGGACCAGCAGTTTAATACATGTGATGACTTTTTGCAGCCAGAGCTTCAAGCATCATCTTCATGAATCAGAATTTAATACATAGCAGTAGAAAATTAGCCATTTTCCAATATTGTTTTACATTTACGATACATATTAAGGATTTGAGTGAACCCTGCAGGAACGTGTGTAAGACTACTGTTGCGCTGTACTGCAAACATCAAGAAGATGAAGAAAAATAACATTTACACTCATAAGAAATGTTGCTCAAGCAGTGGCTGAACACGTCCACATGTTTACATAGCTGAACATCTGCAAATCCCACAAACAAATACCTCTGGTGGATTTGTAGAGGAAGAACCGCTGTAATGGAACCACGTGCAGCGCACATTCTTAGTGTTCTAATAAACATTACATTAAATGTTGACCACAGCTTACTAAAATATTAATACAAATACTCAAGAACGGATAGAGAAAAAAGCCAATTTTAGTGACACGAGTGCATTTTTTTTTTTTTTTAAATAAGCTTTTAGTCAAGCAAGGGCTCACATGTGTCAAATTACTCAGAAGAGCACTGATCTAGGGTCAGTCTTTAGCTTCTGGGAACAAAACAAACAAAATGAGGAAACTGAAGCTGGTAATGCTTTACCTCTGAGCAAACCAAAACATGAGACGGGTTCACCACCACCTGGGTCTCCAGGACATCGCCACTGTGTTGCAGTGTCCTCTGGCCTGGAGAGAGAGAGGGGAAAAAACAAAAAGGAGGAGAGGATCAGAGAGGAACCACAAAGCCGACAGCTAATCCGTTGATCCAATGTACGGATCCACTGAGCAGATGCTTACAGTGAGGTAAGAATCCACACAGGAGGAGTCTGACATCAGCTAAAGCCAGAAATGAAACAAACGTCCCAGGTAATTGTCTAAAGGTGAATTCAGGTGATGGCACTGACGCCTGCAGGCTGACAGGGAGAGAACTTAAAACAACATTATACACCGATACTCTTCTACGCTCATTGTCCATTTTATCAGCTCCACTTACTATATAGGTGCACTTTGTAGTTCTACAGTTACAGACTGTAGTCCATCTGTTTCTCTGATACTTTGTTAGCCCCCTTTTACCCTGTTCTTCAGTGGTCAGGACCCCCATGGACCCTCACAGAGCAGGTGCTATTTGGGTGGTGGATCATTCTCAGCACTGCAGTAACACTGACGTGGTGGTGGTGTGTTAGTGTGTGTTGCGCAGTTCCACAGCTCCACAGTCCAATGCCTGGGGGGGCTTCATACCCCTCTAGCCCACGCTTGGCATTGGACATGGTAACTCCAGTGCTTAAAGCTAGTATAAGGACTGTCTGAATACTTTTGGTGCATTTAAAACCAAGCTGAGTTCAAAACTATTTGCAGGGCTGCATATATGTACATAAATCTGGTCCTGTTTATATTGCAATTCTATTCTCTAGTGCTCTAAAACAAACAAAACTAGTGTGAACACTTGGGGAATGTGAGCAACAACTCAGAGCTCTAAATATGGACCTTTCACTCAGCAAACACAGCAGCATTACATGCGTAAGGTCATGCTCTTATTCAGGTTGCCAAGTCTGTTTGGGAAATCTCTAGCAGTATTTTTAAGCTGCAACCAAATATACTGTCCCAAAATTGGTCTCAATTAAAGACTCTCTGGTTATTTGGTGGAAAACAGTGAAGGGGGAAACGATAAAAACCATCTGCTGAGCAGCTGCCTGAGCACAGCATGCTAAGAACTTCCACTTGAGTTTCAGATAACTGTTCACTCAACAGCAGAAAACAAACAGAAATCTGAAACAATGAGTGTAAATGTAAGACCGTAAGGCCGACGCGCCTCTCTCTTCTCTAAGTGGCACTTGTTTTCCATCTTCCACTGTTGATAATCACAACTAGGCATCTGGGTGCAGACTGTCAGAGTGAAGTAGTTGGGGTGTTTGTATTTTAAATATAATATAAATGTGTGTATTTTTAAGGTGGCGATTATTGTAGTTAAGTCTGTGTCTGATGGTTAAGTGAGTTTACATGGTAACAGCCCACAGTGAAGGTAAAAACTCATTTAAAAGAAAAAAAAAAAGTTTAATTGATTTATTTATTTCATGTAACTTCTAGCAGGACTAGCCACACTTGTAACACACCTAACCTAAAATAACCTAAAAGTACCCAAATAAGAGGATTCTGTTACCAGCACAGGCCCATTTGGACTTTTTGTTCAAGGACTGCGCAGAAGACATTAATAGAAAGTTACTCGAGTAATAATGAGAGTTTTTGTAGATTCAATGTTTTCTGCATTAAAAAAAAATAAATAAATAATAAAAAAAGTGAATCTTGACCTCATCATATCAAACCTGAAAGCATGTGTCCGGTTACATCCATTATCTCACCTTCTAGCAAATCAGTGTTCATATGAAAGACATTTCACCAAGTGGAGAAGCTCCAGCTCATCAGCCAAAACAAAAGCAGGCAAAGATGATACTGATGACTGTTGTTGCAGCAGCGATTTGCACAGGAGCCTCTGAGCTTTATTGGATTACGATTCCATTAAGGAAGCCGTTGCTGGTATCTTGCCCTGGAGATGAGACTCAGCAGATTATCCAGAGAGCCGGTCAGAAAGCACGGCCTGCTAGCTGATGCGAGTCCTATCACTTGTTTTTTCTAATTTAATCGGCCTGAGGTTTGACAATTATTCCCCTTCCCCCCTTTTATACTTGGGAAAGAGTGTCAGTATCCAGCCTCACGTTAATCTAATGACCATAAAAGGAGATGGGAATGGACATGAAAGCTGCTGACAGCACTAACAGGAGGCAATTACACACTGTATATGCATTAGCTTTAAAGGCAGTGCTGCTTATCTATTAACCTTAAAGGCTTCATAATCAGCAATTCAATTTAGTATGATCCCACAGATCTGATAGGTCCAAAGTAAGGCTGGACCACCTACTGGCCTCTTTATACATACATACAAACAAACATATACACATATACACACACACACACACACACACACACACACACACACACACACACACACACACACATACATACATACATATATATATATATATATATATATATATATATATATATATATATATATACACACACACACACATATTTACATGACCCATAGGGGTCACAGCAGTTTGTTCCAAGTCTATTATCTTCCCAAAAAACAATTTCATAAACATAACATTTCAAGTATTTAACAAACCCTCTTTTACGTGAAACAGTTGTCAGAGCATCCATATGAAATTCATTTTAGTTTCTTCTTGGCTTCCAAAAGTGTAAAAATGTCAGATGATGCAACCGTCCAACCATGTATGCTGATTATGTAAACTATCAAAAAAGGTAACAAAAATAAAGGACATGGTTCTGTTTACCATGTCAGGTGTTCTGACCTCAGGAGAACCACAAAAATGTAGAATTATTATAATAATGTTCATTTATTTGAAAAAATGTAATTATAAACTCAAGTTGAAGGTCAAAGTTTTCTGCGGGTGTCTAAGTAGATCCTGTTTAATTTGAAATTAGTCTGAAAAGTCAGGTGGCGCAACCAGTCAGTCAGGTGGAGCAACCAGACCAGCACAGTTTAATAACTGAAACAGGCAATTAAAGCTGTGATAACACTCAATATATTTAAGACATAAAAAAACACAGATATAAATGCAAATATTTAGGCCAATAAGGTGAGAACTCTAAATTACATTTACTCAACACTGAACCACTCTGGACACAAGCATCTGTTAAATATGATAAAACCCATTTTGAATGTTGCTTTGTGTACTTTGCAAATGACAGCATCTGCTAAATATGCAAATTCTTCTTAAATGTTGATTGGTCTACTGTTTAATTCTGTTTTGCTTTAGTGAAATAATCATTTAGTAACATAAGCTGCAGTACATTGCTATACTACATCACAACACAATCGTACTGTGGCTCAAGTATTGTGAAAACGCAATTAAAAGCAGTATTTCTGTGCTTATTTATAGCTTAAGATAATATTAGCATTAAAACTCAGTCCAAATGGCCCAAATGGAAAGTGTCTGAGACGTACTGTAATGTACCGAGAGTATTTATCGATAATTTGCCCCAACTGTCACATTGCTCATCATCCCAGCTCGAGTCTAAAGAGATGAAACTACATATAATCACACCTTTAATAAACATTTAGCAGAAACTATTTGAATTGTTCTGATTACGTGTCATTTTTATACTTTTACTCAATCAAATCTGGATTTGCTACTGTTTTGCTAATAATAAGTAATCCCATGTGAGCAAATAATACATTTAATATGACAAATTAGGTGATAAATTCACTTTTTAGCCATTTTCTTTGTTTAGAGAACATTTCAGGACATTAACGGTTTGATAAGGGAGGAAAACACCATTAGACAGTCCTCTGGTCGAGTGGACGGGTATGTAATGCTAACCTTGAACTGTCTACCATAACGGAGCACATGGTAGGAAGCAGCTTCTTCCTTCCTGAATGCGAGAACTGTGTTCTTACAACATCTGTACAAGTCAGAGTGCAAACTGCAGCCCAACAGCCACATCAGATCAGATTCACACAAACCACGTGAGGCGTTTGACAAAGATCTTACAGCAGAACACTAAATTAACTGTACTTTAAACAGTAATATGACCTGTTTTAGGACGAATTTCACCATAAATAAAACCATTAGTAGTAGATAGACACCAACACCAGCCCCACACCTTATTCACATCATTTAAGCTTAATATAATTGATGCAATTCTTGGATAAAACTGTATTTTGTGCTCATTATTGGTTCCTATTCAGACAACTTCATGCTTTGGAAACTCCTACAGTCATGAAAGACGAACTGCAGCACCAAATCCAAATCTGTGTTGGGTTTGTTTTCATCAGTGCTGACTAGTCTGTAAACAGTGTTTACTAAACCCTCATGAGACAGAAAAACACATCAGCAAAAACAATGTGTGAATTTTCTAGTGTGTCAAAGTGCATCTCTCATAGAAATAAGGGCTCATTTGATCCGATTCCATAAACAAAGGCTGCCTAAGACGTACTGTGAACGAAATGTTTGGATGTTGTAGAAAAATACTAATAAACAAGGCCGGGACTATTTCACAAAGTAGGATTTCTCAGTTAAAGCTAAAGTAGGTAACCCATATGAAAATACATAAAACTGCCACTGTCTTCCAGTAAACACTTAAATACTCGCAGTAGTTAGTCCACATATACATCAAGCACACATATCAACTCACACCAACTTATATACGCACACACACACGCAAATATGACATGAATATGAAATACTGAATTTTGTTAAACCCTTTCTTACACTATTACATTGAAATCGTTTAATATACACATGTCTGTCTGTTTGTCTGTTTGTTGGTCTGTCTGTCTACTCTTTCATCTGTGTTACACTGACAAACACCCGCGCAAGCGCACACACACACACGCACACACACACACACACACACACACACACTCTCACACACACACACACACACACACACACACACACACACACACACACACACACAGGCCACCTAACTCCACTCCTCAGTCGTTTATTATTTTTGATTATCTTGGTTGTAAACGTTGAATATCTTGCTTTTAAACTGTATAATAAAAAAGTCATTCTCCAAAGGGGTGTTGGGAAGGAAAAATAAATAAATAAATAAACCTGTCACTGCGTCCTGACTGTAGTACATGAGACAGATAATCT